TAAAGCTTGCCCTTGCGGCGACCCCAAAAGGCCTCCAGTCAGGAACATGGGGGGGGGACCTTATGGAGGGACTGTTGATTTCCTTTGAGGGTTAGATTTCCTTTTGAGGCGATTCGAATGTGCATTTGGCACATGGAACCTTCGGTTTGGAGGTATTTTGGTAATGGGTCCAAATAAGTGGCAATGACCCTCACAAACAATGACACGCCCTTATCTTGGCAGGGCTCCTTAGAAGATACATTTTGCAACCATGTGAAACATGGCTTTTTCCACCAAAATAAATGGAAAGCACCACTATTTACAAGGCAACTGCATCCGGATCCCTTGGTGATGGGCCCAAATCAAATCAAGCCGCCTCTGCGCCCTGGGGAGTCGTTTGGCGAAGTAGCGAGGGCCATGGACAATTCCCACTCCACTTCAGCCACAATCAAAACCCGGGTAGAGGAAGGTTAGTAAGGGAAAGACCCAGCCGGAAATAGTTGCGGAATTCCGCTTTTCTAATTCTTGGGACATGGTTCTGGGTTCACCATTCTTGTACCAGGTTTTGATTGTGACTCACTTTGGCATCACCGACCGTGTTTGCCAGTTTCAGTTGGCCGGAGCCACTTGCTACGTTCGTCTACGTCCGCTTCAGTCGTTGCTCTCGTCCTGAATGGGGTTGGTTCAATTCTGGGCGGGATCAACCAAGCGGACCAGCCCCCTGCAGAAAAAGTTGCTCTGGTTTGCTCTTCAAAAGCCAAGTCGAGAGCTTCCACCTGAGCCCCGCCAGCCCCCGCCAGTGCTTGCAGTTGACGAACTTCACGCACCCCTGATTAATTTTAATGGGGGAAGCCAGCTAAGAATGATTCCAGATCAAGGATCAAACGTTGAAACCCTTGTTTTCCCCCCCAATCGGACCCCCAATCGGACCGCCTTGATCATTGTTTGGTGGGCACGGAAGTCTACTGTCCAACTTCCTGCTAGCGGGGGGCTTGCACACCTCCATTCGGTCGCTGCCTGACAGGAAGCGATTTCTGAGACACCGTTCATGCCCTTTTGTTTGTGGCTGGTTTGCTTGCAATCATAGGTATCCTTTTGGACAAATTATTCCATTGGCCCTGGTCAATGGAATAAAGCCCATCTAAACCAGTGCCATCTATTTCTAACCAAACTAAGCTTCACAGGCCACCTATACTTGCAATATTCGGGTTTTAACTTCAGGCGGCTGGATCATTGTATGGAGGACCCCAGGCTTCCCATGCGTGGCTTGGGTCAAAACAGCCACACCACCAACATTAAACTCCGCAAAACCGATGACATCCTTCCTGGGTTGGCTCCAACAATAAAGCGAAATGTTTATGTCACACATGGCGGAGGCTCAAAAAATTGGACCCCCAACAAAATGGTGGGTGTCCTTGTCTCCCTTTCAACCAACCCCCAAAAGGGTCGCAGTGCCCTCAAGTTTCCCTGTCTCCCTTACCAGCCCCCGAAAAGGGTATCTGTACCCTCATAAACGGACAGACCCCAAAAATATTAAGTATATACATATATATATATACATATATATATATATATCTATTAACAGAAAAACAAAAAGCAAGAAACAACAAAAAAACAAACACAACACCGCGCGGGTTGAGCGTCCAAAAAGCATCCACGAGCCGAAAGAGCCGAGCTCGAGGCTCGAGGACTTGGAGCCGCTCTGATCCGAAAAGAGCCGGGCGGGCGGAATGTGTGTGGCAGCGCCTGAGAAAGTTTTGGGTTTTTGGTTTGTGGAGGGTTTCCTTTCCACATCGACCAAAAGCAAAGGGGTGTCCTTTTTTGTGAACAAATTTGGGAGACCACTCACCGGTAGAGTTTGGGAGGGCGTGGGAGATGCGCCCTGCGTCAGAAAGCCCGGGACTCACTACGGGGACCGCAGACTGTGGACAAAATCCTGCACCGCCTGAGAAACCCTGGTTTCTGATTCGGTTCCCCCTGCAAATGCCAAAAACAGAAAGAGAGAAACGGATTCTGGTTTCAACCACGGTTTCAAGGGGGTGCTGGATTTTGTCCATCCACGGTATGGTGGTGGTCAACATCGAGGTGGTCGGCCGCGGTAAGTGGTTGGTAGGCTAGGATCCTGCTCATGAGCGATTTGGGCCAGTTGCAGGTAGGTTGCAACGACACACGGGGATTGGCTCAGGATTCAGGATTGGCTTAGTATCCGCTTAGCATGAGTTAGTATTAGTTTAGTATGAGTTTAGCACTGTGGCGTTGCGCCAGGGCTGGGGGTCATGTTTTTCTCAGCTCCAAACGGGCAGCACTAGTTTTTGCCACCTGTTTCTTGTTTCACAAAGAAGCTAACACATTTCGGTACGCCCTCCCACTCTATTCTTTCAGGGTAGGGAGAGTGCTGGGGAAACTTGTTTGTGTTGCAGTGTTGCCTCCCTTTTCTCATCGCTACCCGACAGCGCAGACATTTTTCTTGCTTGCTTGAATTTGCTGTCGGCCTGCAAGAAACCCGCCGATGCTGCCCGTTTCAGGCTCAGATCCTCCAAATCTCTGCACAAACCTCCTCAGTTGTTCAGTGGCTCCCTTTTTCCCCCTTTTTTTTTGGTGGCTGCCCCACTAAAATGGTCTTCCCAAAAAAGGGTTCGGGTCACTGAACAACTGAGCCTCTGAAGAGGGGGTTTCCAACTGGATTTCCCAGTTGAGCTGTTCAGTTTGTAGTTCGCCCAGTTACCTGCAGTGGAAATTGCCTAGCTGCGTCCGGGTTTCTGCCGAGCAAAAAGGGTCGAGGCCCCAATCTGGTGTTCTCGAAACCTAACGTACTTTACTCGTGAGCCCTCATGTGTAAAAGACTTACTACGTAGTTGTACTGGGCCCATTAAAAAAGTGTCATGCTTAAACTAGCCCCCAAGTTGTGGTCGAAACCACCGTGATCCGAAAGTAGTTTTGAGAGCCTCTCAAATAGTTCGTTGACCCTGACTGGACAGAAAATGAAGGACGACACATGACCTGCAGGTGTTCTTTCGGGCAAAGAACGATCATGGGCTAATTAGCACCCAGAAACCTAGAAAAGCAGATGTAAAATGGCCGGAAAGCTACCGACAATCAATGTTTATGGGCAACCTGCCAGAAGGACATGCTGTTTGGTTTGCGGCGCCCATATTTATTTCTCGAAAAGGGTTTATCCAGGTGTCGGGACCGCGAAGGCAAGGCTTGGGATGGCGTACCGAAGCGCAGCTTCTCCCTGGAGAGTGGAGCATGCGCTGGCAGGGGTGCCTCTTGACAGGGTTTAGAAGTTTTTTTTTTTTGGGGGGGGGACCTCCGAAATTTTGTGTTTTCTCCTTTTGGTTTCCCTTCCAAGCCGCAAAAAAGTGGGGGTGTACCCTCAAAAAAGGAAAAACAACAACACCCAGAGTTCAAGTGATTGGCCTGAAGCCGAAAGCCTCGTGTGTCAACATTGAAGGACCCAAATTCGTGTCCCTCCCGAGAAAAATAATTTGCCCTCAACCAGAAAACCCTTTCTCTCTCTCTCTCTCTCTATATATATATACATATATGTCCGTTTTTGTATGGTAGAAAAGGCTTCCCTCTCTCCTCCTCATTTCCAACAATCCCTTTTGCAAAGAGTGGAGCCACTTTGTTCTTGTTTTTTGGGCCTAGGTGTACAAATGTTGCCAAGCCCTAGGGGTCCAAGGCAGACTTCCCAGGGAGTCCAAATGAAGCATCGGATTTGAGCTCTTTGCAGCTCATCAGCTCCGTCCTGGGGTCTCCGCAGGTATGCCATTAGCCTAAATCTGAAACGGAGTGTGTTCCCAGATCCGAATCAGATTGAACTGCAGAGGTTCAGGGTCCCAAAGCCAAGCATGTGTTTGTAGTCAGATTCAACTGTGTATGGGTCACAATACAACCACCAACAACAAAACGCAGGTTTTAGTCTTTGGTTCCCTGTTCCATTTTGACGCATTTTTGACCCATAGCCAACTGAGCACGTCAGGCCGAGCCAAGAAACGCGCGCGAAGCCGAGCTCGCTTCGACTCGGAGTTCGAGGAGCTCGGCTCGAGAGGCGCGCGCGGGACCTGGGATCCGTGCGGTCCCCCAATCTTCCCGAAGGAACGTACCCCATAAATTGGCAAGAAACCATCTTGAAGGTCCAGGTACTCCCTTCTTTTGTGGTTTTCAAAAGGAAACTACAAGGGCAGCCACCATTTTGCGGCTGCGATTCTCAAGTTACAAAGTGAGATTCGCCTAGGTATAGCCTCGTGCGAACTTGACATGAGCAACTTGGTTGTAACCTAGAAAGGTCACCTTGGAGCCAACCACCATGACTTTCGGATGTATCTTTTGGGGAACCATGAATTTTGGGTCCATTGGTTCAAGGTCTTTTCTAGGCCTTGATTCCCCATTGTTTTCAACCATCATTCTTTTCAAAACCGGATCCGTTTTCCCTGAAATTCTGGAGATTTTCTAGAAAGAAGGATCCCTACAAAAAATGGGGAAGGTACCCCTAGATTTGTTGATGCATCCCTGTTTCCTGCGCCTCGTTCCCCAGGCGTCGCTGGGCGAGCTCCGCGGCCTCCGGCGTGTTCTCCTCCTTCTGCGCCGTCTACTCCTGGCGCCGGCGGTGCCTTCGACAGCGGGGGCGATGTCGAGCCAAGGAGCGGGTTCGAAGGTCCGAAGGTTCAAGCGCGTTGGATGCGTCTCCCTCAGCCTGGAAAAAGCGGGCTTCTCTTCTGGGGGTGCAGGTGATTTTCTTTCTTGGCTTTTAGCTTTCAGCCAGTCGCCTACAAATTGCTTGGATGGGTTAGTTGCCTTGCACCTAATTGCTTTCAGTTAATGTGGACTTAGCATTGAGACGACAGTGGATTAAGAGCGGGGCGGGGGTATCCCGATTCAAATTGGGGGATGTGCTCCCTGCGCAATGGAAAGGGCTTTCAACGGAGATTGCTCTAAACATGATGTTTTGTTTGGGGAGTTCCACCATAATTTCTGCAGGGGGTAAATATGTTCGCAACCACGGCCCTCATCTTGAGAGGCTCCCCCAGGTGTTGTTGAGAACCAAGGAAGCCGAAGCGCACCCTGGAACCAACATGCAACTGAACGCCCCCAAATTCTTGCTATGGCTCTTGGGGGATGAGGGAATGACCACCTATGCACCATCCCTTGTGGCTTTCTTTGGGGGATGCTCTTGCTGTTCATTCCCAAAGCCGATGTGGATTCCCGACTGAGAACCAGCAAGTCAATTGAGCCACAATCAAAACCCGGGCAAGTGAAGATAAGGGACAGTCCCAAGCACAACTGGGTTTGGCCGCGCTGAGTCGTTGCATGGTCTTGGGTACTTTCCTTTTGAAATTTTGACTCAGCTAACCTTTCGCCCTTCTCTTCCTGCAGGGCTCGGATCGGTCTGGCCAAAGACTTCCAAAACCTGAAATTCAGGAGGACGAGGAGAGCGAGTCCCGAATCGAATTGGACGACGAGTTGCTGCTGCGCTCTTTGCAGAAGCGCATCCAGGAGGTGGGCGTCCAGGAGCGCCAAGCAAGTCTCGTCAGTCACTCGTTGGATTGCCAGCAGTTAAATACTAAAGTGTGGGTGTGTTTGTGGGTGTGTGCTTTTTTGTGCAGGAACCTTTAAAGGAACACTTTGAACCTGTCATCCATTTCAACACGCACGCCCAAGTAAAATGAATGGCGCCCAACACCGATTCCTTTTGGCTATTTTAGTAGGTGGTTCTACTACCTGGTCTGATCAAAGTTATAGTAAGGACTATGCCTTGAGAGATGGCTTATACGCACTGTTTCACTGCCAGTCATGCCGGTCAGGGCCCGAGGCAGTGAACATTTGTTGCACGCGCGTGTGTGTGTGTGTGTGCAGTGATACGCGGGCGCACTTGAGTGGGTGCATTTGGCAGGCGTGTGTGCACTGCTACGCGGACTCACTTGCAAGATCCGAATCGCGCTCCGCGCTGCAGTAAGCAGACTACCTTGACTAGGGGGACCCAAAGGCCAAAGTGGTGGTGGTGCTGCTGGCTTTAACACGACCCCAAAAAGGGAACCCTAAAAAAGCCACATCCATTTTGGTCCCGTTTCGGGCAACAACACCAACGTCCGTGCTCTCTTCGAAGTCAAGGTTTACCAGAAGTAGAAGTCCGTCTGGAATATTTCTTAAAAGATGCATCACGCTACCAGCCCGGATTTTGGCCCAGCAACCTAATGTAGAGCAAAATGGATCCCAAGTAAGCTTGCAGAAGCCACTTCTAAAACGCTATTCTTAGAGAGTACTCAGACCCTCTGGGAATGGTGCAGAATCAGACTCATTTCCTCACATTGGGGTCAGCTGTTTTCTTGCTTTTCTGGATTGTATCGGGTGATTGGGGTTTTTCGAACGTGGCGATCCCAACGTGTTAGGAGAAGGCGCGTCGCGCCGTGGTGGACCGACACTGGCGAGAGGGCAAGGCCCAAGTGCGGCCTGCTGCGCTGGTGAACGATTGGGTGCGCCGGGTTCTGCTGGTGGGGGTGTCTCGGATACGGAAAAAACAAGTACTTCCAGAGGTGGTTCTGCAACCTGACCAATGTGACAGTCAGGCCTAAGGCTTTATAGGTGGCAGGAAAGGGATAGGCACTTTTAAGCATCAAACCGTTTGCACACTAAACATTTTGAGGACGATGGAGCTGCTCGTGCAGGGAGCGTGTGAACTTGCCCCCAAATGTTCACCTTGTTTGTTGCTCACTGATCAGGGGAACGTTTAAACAAATCCCGTTAAATTGATGTTTGAGCATCAAACTGTTTAAGCCGCTTAAAAATGAGCCAGCAAGATGATTAGAACAGTTTGAAGACGAGCCAGCGGCATGGCCTTTTTTAGCCATGCCTGTATAGACCCCATCGACGTTTCGAGCGCTGTCCGCTTCGAGTCGAGCCAAGGAGGACCTCTTCGTAGGCACTGCTTCTTCGGGTGTGCGGCCCGGCGGCACCCAGCAAGCTCCGCCCGTTCGGTTGCTTTTGTTTCGTGCATACCGCAGTCGATAAAGATACAAAAAAGTGACCATGTTTTTAAAGACCCCATTCCAACTATTCGCCTTGTCCATCATTGCCCCTCCTTGTTCGTGCGAAAAAAGAAGAAGAAAGGGGACCAACTAATTTCTGGGGTCATTATTTTCACGGTTCCTGGGGTCAGTATCAACGTCAGAAAATGGAATCGGTTATTTCCTTTAACCCACCACTTAGGGGGTGACTTTGGGCATGGTAAAATAATGAAGCCAGAATTGTCCGCCGGGAATATACTGCAGACGATCAACACCATGACCGAATGTGTTTTCACATCCCAATCCCATTCCAACTATTTGTTTTGTCCCCATGGGATCGTTTGCCACTCTAGCATCTATCCATTCATACCGCTTGCCTTTTTGATATTCCTTCAGTTTCCCTCTCAACCAGCACAACATGTTCGCTTGCGGGGCCGTCTGACCAAAAAAAACGTGGGTCCCCATCACAATATATCCATATCATTCCCCTAGGTCAACTGGGTAAAGATACTGTAGGCCCTCTGCATTGGGATCCCTGGGATCTATTCATGGCCTGGAATGAAAAAGGAAGGTTTGCAGACTCATTGCCTCATTTGATATTGGGGTGTATACTTGAAAGCCAGCTTAAGGCAAAACGTGTGCGATGATTCAGCCCCGGTCCTTCTCTCATCTATGATGTCGTCCACCCGGCCCCCCTCCGGGCCTGGCTGGGGTCCATTGGGCCTCTAGGGTGGCCCATCTCTCAGGCGGCGGTACCACCTGGGCGAGGAGGAGCCTCTCAGCAGCTTCCTGGTGCAGGGGGATCCCAGCCACAGCGCTTTGGCCGAATACCACTCGCGAGGCTGGTAGTGTTGCCTCCAAATTCTGGGGTAGGTTTAGGATACTTTGGATTCCTTTTACCTGGTACCAGAGACTCAAAGTGAAGCAAACAACAAAGTATACATTCTATAACTGGGCCTAACCTCTAGGGAAATATGGACAACTCCAAGATCCCATGGTTTTGGAGCCTCCAACTATTCTGACGCAGATCAAAAGCTGAGTAGATTGAGGGTCAGGGTGTGGACAGCCTCTTGATTCTTGACATGGCTTCGGGCGCACCATGGCGGCTTTGTAGGCGTCATGGTCTCGTGGGATAAATGTATCACAACTTTGACATGAATGAAAGAGCCAGGACAATGACCAAAACAAGGAGCTTTGACCAGCGCGCTCGAACCAACTTCCAGTCAGAATGAATGATCTCCCTTCAATTCCCTTTGTGATATCTCAGTATCTCAGACAACGGCACCTTCAAGACACGGGTTCATGAATGAATTTCGGCTTTAGCCCGTATGCCACTTTCGTCAAGGAATTTTACATCTATTTGCATGTTGGTTCCCTTGGTTACCCTGAAGGCTCCCTTTGCAGAATGATAATTAATCAGCTCAGCTGAATTAGGCTTGCCTCACCCTGTGATGAAGGTCCCTTGTTCGGGGATCGCCTATGTCCGGTGATTGAATTCTAATCTGCTCAGATCCTTGTCTTTTGTGCAGGTTGCTTACGGGTTCTCAAGTCAACGTATGAACAAGCGGAGCCCTGTCGTTGCTTGCTGCGCGACCAAACCCCATGCACAGGAGGGCTCATGGGTTCACGGGAGTCTTGCGTGTGGATTCCCTGAGAATCTGGGGGTCACTGGATCTATAGTAGGTAACCAAATTTGACATCTAGTTGCATGATGGTTTCTCCTGTTTACCGGGCTTTGCAACTCCCCTGCAGATGAACATGGACCGCCCCCAAACCCATTGCGGAGGAAGCTCTTGTGGGTGCCATGTCAATTTGCAGGGGGAAGTATTTGGTTGTTTCCTGCGGGCATGTTCGCTCTTCTCTTTCGCAGGCATGTGATTCAGTTGTTTCTGGGGTTCCAGATTCATTTCAGCCTGAAAACCGATTCCCATTTGAGCCGTTTGAGGTGGTGAACACCCGCGTCGGCTTGTTTTTTGTTGGTTTTTCTTCGCCAAAAAGACCTCGGCGCTGCCCCAGACCCTGCCACCTCCCGAACAAAAAGCCGAGGCGTGGCAGCAGACCACCTGGCGGAAGTGGACCCTGAGACTTCGGTGGGGCTCTCAGTGGAAGCCAGAAGGAAACCTGGTGCCCAGCGAATCGTCCTTAGTTGCTTAGGTTTTTATGGGTTTCTTAGTTGGTTGAGTGGTCGGGTTTCCATTTCACCCAGGGGATCCGAGGACAGAGGGGCCTTTTTTCTTTCCCGTGTCCTTTGTTCGGCCTGTGGCGAACCCACCCTGGGTTCTTACCCATTTGTGACATAGTTGACTCCACTTGGGGGGATTTATAGGTGGGTTACAACCTAGGGGAACAAGAAATCCCGGAATCCCTTCCCCCCCCCCCCCCGAATTCCCCGCGAATTCACCCGTAAGGGGGAACATTTCTTTTGACTCAGGTGACGTCCCTGGCCTGGGACGGTCTGCGGGGTTTGCTCTGCGCGGGCCTGGCTGGGGGCCGGCTGCAGGTCTGGGCCGAGGGAGAGCCTGAGCCGCTCCTGGACTTCCTGGCCCCTTGGAAGCTCTCGTGAAGTTTTCCGACAGCAGGGCTTTCCATTTGGGTATGGGTCAAAACCCATGGGATCTCATTTTGAGGGGAGCGCAGGTTTTAGTCCTTCTTTCCATTTACCAGGGTTCCATTTGGGGTACCTATTTTGGACCCACAGCCATTTGGCCATGGGCCAAAACCCATGGGATCCCATTTTGGGGTTGTCGGTGCGCCCAGTTTAGAACCTAGTTTGGTTGGGATTGGGATGTTCACTGAAGGACGGGATTTTGACCCATGGCCATTTCAGTACTTCCATTTGTTGAACCGGCTAAAAGCTGAACCTTTCAATGGAAGACCCGACCCGTCCATTAGACAGCCCGGAGGTGTTTTGGACCCGGTAGCCACGGGGCATTTTTGCCATTAGACACCCGTTGCTCAAGACCTGGCTGTTTGAGGGCCCTACATACATCGTGGGGCTTGGGTTTGCTGAAAGGATATGTTTTAGTTTCCCGTGAGGGTTTCAGAGACGGAATCTATCACTATTGCGAACGTGTTATTTTTTCCAGGGGGCTTAGGCAAATGGAGGAGGCTTACATCCCGAGTTGCGAACGGATTTGCTCAGTTTTGGGGCCCGGTCATTCTAGTGGAAAATAACAACTTCAGTTTAAGTTCTGTTGCACTCACGCGAACAGAATCTTATGCAAGGGACCAAGTAAGTGCGAACATGAGTGTCCCATGTTCATGAGGTCGCAATTAAAACTACCTCACAAACCGATGGTAGTTGTTTAGGCCCTTAGCACCTTGTTTCCTTGGTGTCCTACCCTGGGGTGTCGAGAAAAGGCCAGAGCCCCCACAGAAAAGAACATGTGCTTGGGATTTGTGTGGGATTTGCCTTGCTTTTTTTTTTGGGGGGGGGGGTTCTGTTTGAGCCAAGGAAAGCCAAGCAACCAGAAAATGTTACGGTTCTCAGATGTTCTCAGGTTCATGAAGTTACGGTTATCAACATACCATCTTGAACAGTTGAGGTAGTAAGGCGGCCGAGGCCAGGTTTTTTTTTGGGGGGGGTCAAGAAAACCAACCAGACAAAACCAGGAAGACATGTCTATCGAGTCTGGGAAACAACAATATATGATAACATATATATATATATATATGGGTCTCTTCCCCATTTTCTGGACTTGATTTGTTTCAGGAAGGTTGTATTCGGAGTGGCGTGGATGGTAAAGTAAGAGGGCGGGTCGGCATGGGGGCTGCGTTTCTCGAATTCCTGGGGGCTGCGTTTTTCAGATTCCAGTGTTTTGCAGATTCCTGGGGCTGCGTTTTTTGCAGCACTATATTTAGATGTTCGGTCTTTTGGTTGTGTGATGGCATGCAAGCACAGGCCCATTTTGTTCCAACTGGAGCCGCAGATGCTTTCACGCCTTGAAGAATGCATGTTGGGAAGCTTCACTTAGATTATAAAGAAGACAGCCTGAATTACAATCAGGCCTTGGCACGGCGCTTCAACACTCCATTCCCTTATTTAGTTGCCTAGTTAGTTTCATAATGAAAAACATGGGGAACACTAGGGGGGTAGTGAGGAAACACTACGGGTATACCAAGAGAATACTAAAGGAAAACTAGGGGAATACTAGGGCAATACTAGGTACATACGCAGAAAATACTAGGGCAATATTAAAGGTGAATAAAAGGATAATGCGTGGGAATACTGAAGGGAATACTGGGGGTATACTCTCAAGCTCGATCTGTCTGACTTCTCTCAGGCTTCCTGACTAGGGCAATACTAGGGCACTACTAGGGAAGTACTAGGGGAGTACTAAAAGTGAATACTGGAAGAATTCCAGGAGAATACTGACAGAAAACTAGGGGTATACCAACAGAATACTTAAGGAATACCAGGGCAATACTCAAGGTATTCCCCTAGTAATTCCATCCCTTTACTAGGGGAAATAGCAAGGGAATGAAATGGGGTAGTGAGGTAAGTTAACTGAATACTAGGGCAATAATAGGGGAATACTAGGGCAATCATAGGGCAATACTAAGGAAATATTAGTAGGGAATACTCGGGCAATATTAAAGGTGAACCTAGGAGAATACTAGGGGAATTTGTGAGGGAACACTAGGGGTATACCAAGATAACATTTGGGTATTCCCCTAGTAATTCCACACCTTTACTAGGGGAAATAGCAAGGGACTACTATGGGGTAGTGGGGAAATTCTAGAAGTATATCAAGAGACTACTGAATTAATTGAATGCCAGGGCAATAATAGGGGAATATCAATTGAAGATAGAGAATATGCTATCTCTACGGTTGGCTTGAATACAGAGCTGGCTACGAGAGCCACAGGGTTGAACGCATTCTGTTGCAGGCGAGGATGCGTAGAAAAATAGCCCCAAAAAACAAAATTGCAGGCCCTAATTATGTCCTCAAGCTTGGACTGCCCAGCCATAGGGCCTGCAATTTTGTTTTTTTTGGTTGTTGTTTGGGAAAAGCGTTGACAACTCGAGCTTTTTCACACTTTTCCATGAAAGACGCAGCCCCCAAGAATCTGAAAAACGCAGCCCCCAGGACGACCCCTTCTGTTAAAATAACGGGGTCCCCCGGAACCCATAAACACAGACCCCGGAGCACACATGTAAGCAACAGACCATATTTATTGGGAGGACGTGGGAGGGAAGCCACATTTTCCCACAAGCTCGCGTTTGACATGTTCCCATAAAAGGTCAGGGTCCAAAGATATGGCCGGTGGGGGTCCGTGGGTCATGATGTCATGTGACAGTGAAGCTTTTGGCTTAAGCATTCGTGGCTCTGCCCGCGGTCGCGCAATGGCAGTGCTGGAGATATTGGCACTGCTCGTGATTCGCGCCGGTGCCAAGGGTGGCACCTCTGGAAGCTACAGCTCCTACAGCTCCTACAGCTCGTACAGCCCCAACAGTGGCTACAGCTCTGGAAGCTACAGCTCTGGAAGCTACAGCTCGTACAGCTCTGGTGGCTTCAGCGGTGGAGTGACGCACTCTCGCACTTCTTATAACAGTGCTGGTGCTTTTGGCGCTCTCGTGCTGCTTAACGCTGGCAGCAGGCGCAGGTATGGCACCTACAACGATGGCAGTAACGATGGTGTGTGCACCATGCTGATTGAAGAGGAGATTAATAGCGCTTGCCTGAACCTGATGACGAACACGACTCTGTGCCACGACTGCATTGCCTGTGAGGCGGAAGACTGCATGTATCTTGGAGCAGTTTCCAGCCGAACCGCCTTTCCCTCAAACTGTTCAGCTTTTGTGTTTTGATATAGACAAAGAGCTTCCATTTGCTGAAATGAATATGTTTTGTTTCTCCTCTTGAGTTCAAAGTGAATGTATCACAACTGGATATATGTTTGTTTGTTTTTTGTTTCCAGGGGACTTAAGGAAATGGATGATAAGCTCGGATTCACCAAACCACGAAGGTATGCAATCACAAATTGTGACGAGTACCTGGCAGCTGTCTACACGGAGTGCTGTGTGGAGGGCTGCGGCGAGGGTGTGGCCTCCAGAGCAGAGCGAGGTACGGTGAACCATGTAGTCAATCTTATCCGGTTAGCATCACTAGCCCCGCAATGGTTGTGGGCCAGGTGAGCGCTGAGAGACACGTGAACCACCTGTCCCTGATTCAGCAGTTTTCGCCTGCGAGCCCCACATGTTTGCGTAAAGTGTCGAAATAGGGGGAGTGGCGTTTTTTTTGGTTTCCCTCAAGGTGAAAGGGCCACCCTCAAACAACAGACCCTGCAAATAGCCGCGCATCTCTGATTTGGGAAGTTCGAAAGGGCACAATCTGCACGTGGCTAGAAGCACTTGTAAGAAGCAGCCTTGCCAAAGGCAGGCGGCAGCGTTTCTGTCCTGAAGTAGCCTTCGACCTCCAGGGTTCTCCAGCCCTGGGCGGAGGCGTGGGTTCTTAGGGGGCTTGGAGCGCAAGGACGGCAGTGAGGTGTTGGCCGCAAAAGTTTGCTGCTTTCCTGGGATCTTGTTTGAAGTGATGTTACGTGTTCGGTAAGGTTCACCAAGAAATTGGTTGCCAGAAGCAAACATGTGGTTACGGCTCAAACAAGTGGTACCAAAATGGCACCTTGGCAACTGGAACCAAAGACTAAAACCCGCGTAACCCCAGCTCTTTAATTTGGAGCCATACCCATATTTCTGTAGGTTTCGGGCAAGTCACTCTGAGGTAGTGAGGGAGTCGAGTTTGCTGGGTTTGGCTCGGTGTTGCCTTGGGAAACTCGAAAGCAGGACATGTTTTGTTCGAGTTCGGGAAAGAACAAGTTGTGTTTTTCTCACTTCCCCAGTTTCTGGGGAGCCACTTGGAAAGATATCATGTTTGGCTTCTCGGGCCGTGTCCTTTTCTCAAAGAGCTGATTCTCCAAGAAGCTGACTCTCCAAAAGCAAGGTGTTTAGTGGCAGGCTTCTGGGTAGAAGGACAGGTGATGAGGGCGAAAGGCCCGAACGGCTGACGTTGTCTTTACAATGCCAAAACTGAGTCAGGGAAAGCTGTTGTTTCCTCACTTCCTCAGTTTCTGGAGTTGATTTGTTTTGGGAAGATCTTAGTAGAAGGGGTGGCGTGTGTGGTAAACTATCGGGCTGCCCTGGAACCCGTAATCATAGACCTCCACAGCGGGTTTGGTGAGGTCATGGGGGACATTTTCCCACAGAGCTCGCATTTTGACATGTCTTTGGGGGTTGGGGTCCGTGGGTCATGTGGCAGTCAAGCCTTTGGCTTAAGCACTACCCCAAGAACGAAGCTTAGCAATGGCAGCGCCTTTGCTGCAGATCCTGGCACTGCTGGTGCTTCGCGCCAGTGCCAAGGGCGGATCCTCTGGAAGCTACAGCTCTGGAAGCTACAGCTCTGGAAGCTACAGCTCGTACAGCTCTTCTGGTGGCTTCAGCGGTGGAGTGATGCACTCTCGCACCTCTTATAGCAGTGCGGGTGCCTTTGGCGCGCTCGTGCTGCTTAGCTCTGGCCGCAGGCGCAGGTATGGCACCTACAACGATGGCAGTAACGATGGCGCGTGCACCATGCTAATTGACGAGGAGATGAATAGCACTTGCCTGGACCTGATCACGAACACAACTCTGTGCCACGACTGCATTGCCTGTGAGGCGGAAGACTGCATGTATCTTGGAGCAGTTTCCAGCCATACCGCCATTCCTTCGGACTTTTCAGCTGTGTTTTGATAGACTTTTATTTGCTGAAATGAATAATTATGCTTTGTTCCCCCTTCGCGCCTTGAGCCATACGGCGTTGTAGCCGTGCAAGTTCCCACATGCGAGTGCATGTCCACACTCCCCCTGCGACTAGTCGTCGCATTCACTCTACACCTGCTCCCAGTCATCGGATGCTTCCGAGGCGTCTGCTCTTCAGCGACCGGAAACGTGGTGGAAGAAAACGAAAGGTTTGATATCTGGGTTCGGCTCATGTTCCCGGTTTATATTCTCTGACAGAGGACTTCCCTGCTCCAGCCAGCTCATTTTCCCGGCACGGAGTTACTTGCCCTGGCCATCTTGGCAACCGTTCCTACAGGGTGCGCGTCAGTTGCGGCTCCATTTTCCCTAGCCGTCTTCAAATCGTAGGTTGGGACCGCTTTCCATGCGCGACCGAGGCTCACGAGGATGCCAGTGCGCTACCTTTTTTCCAGCTCCGCCCCCGACTGCCGACTTCCTTCGCCTCCTCGGTGCTTAAACGACCTTCTTCTGCGACTAGGGTTCCGATCCCGGGTGCCTCGATCATGCCCGCCAAGGTGTAGCAGCGGATCCCATTGGAGCTCGCGACGTCGTGAGATCTGCGGCTTTCCCAATTGACGAAGCCCCTTATCGCACTCTCTCCCGCGGAGCTGCAAATGCCGAGCGCGCCACGGGCCATTTGGCTTCTGGAGAATCGCCAACGCGGCCGAAACAGTCCCCAACACAAGCAGCTTCCTCAGGGCTTGAGCAGCCCTCGAGATCTTCAGGACAGCGCGCAGGGAGCCACCCATGATCACGGATCACGGACGGCGATGTAATCAGCCCACCAGTGCCTCCGCTGTGAGGTGGTCAAAGGCTTCTCCTTCAAATCTCGGGAACTCGATTTGGCCATGAAGATCCCCCCCTGGCGCTGGTAGCCCAAGTTGCACCCCTCCACTCCCCTCCTGCTCAACTGCCCTGGCCCATTCTCGGTTTGTCCTGGGCCTGCGGTCTCGCCCTCATGTCAGTGATTATCCACTGCTTAAAGGGAATCTATCACTGGATATATATTTTTTTTCCCAAAGACTTAAGCAAATAGATACTAAGCACGGAGTCAACAAACCGCGAAGGTATGCAATCACAAACTGTGACGAGTACCTGGCAACTGTCTACACGGAGTGCTGTGTCGATGGCTGCGTAAGTACCTCCAGAGCAGAGCGAGGCTTGGTGAACCATGTAGTCAATCTCATTCAGTTAGCACCACTAGCTCTACAATGGCTTTGGGTCGGGTGAGGGCCAAGAGACATGTATGCCACGGTTGCCAAAGGCAGGCGGCAACGGTTCTGTCCTGAAGTAGCCTTCGGCGGCTTAGCTGTTTTTTGAGGGTTCTCCAGCCCTGGGCGGAGGCGTGGGTTCGTAGGGGGCTTGGAGCGCAAGGACGGCAGTGAGATGTTGGCCGCAAAAGTTTGCTCCTTACCCGGGATCTTGTTTGAAGTGATGTTACGTATTCAGTTTTCAGGTTCACCAAGTTATGGTTGCCAGAAGCAAACATATCACTGTAGGGTTCGGGCAAGTCACTCTGAGGTAGTGAGTGAGTCGAGTGCACTGGGGTTGATGGGAAGCTCGACTAAAGCAGGGAGATGTGTTTGTCGAGTCTGGAATAAATTTTTCTCACTTCCCCGGTTTCTGGACTTGAGCCATTTGCTGGAAAGGTGATGTTTGGCTTCTCGGGCCGTGCCCTTGTTCCATTCTCTTGAGAAAGCTGATTCTCCAAAAGCCCGGAGTTAGTGGCTGGTTTCTGAATAGAAGCACGGGTGATGAGGGCGAAAGGGCCGAGAGGCTGATGTTGTCTTTTCAAGGCGGCGTGCCTGGGAAAACAAAGGGTGCCCTGGAACCCGTAATCATAGACCTCGAAGCCAGGTGAGTATCGGACAGAAATCTTGGCAGGCTACGGTTGGTTTGGTGAGGTCATGGGGGGACCTTTTTCCCACAGAGGTCGCACTTTGACAACCATAAGTGGGTAGTCGCCGCCTTCTCCATTCTTTACATGGCTCTGGGTAACACGTGTTCATGCCAGGCTGTGATTGTGATCCACAAATTCGGGTACGTGTGATCCTTTGTTACCACAATTTGGGGGTTGGGGTTTCAAGGGTGCATGTGACCAAGCCTTCGCCTTAAGCTCCGGCCCTGCGCCAAGCTGAGCAATGCCAGCGCCTTTGCTGCAGATCCTGGCACTGCTGGTGCTTCGCGCCCATGCCAAGGGTGGATACGCTGGAAGCTACAGCTCGTACGGCTCTTCTGGTGGCTACAGTACTGGGGTAATGTCCTCTCGCACCTCATATGCCAGTGCTGGTGCCTTTGGTGCAGTCGTGCTGCTTAGCGCTGGCAGCAGGAGGAGGTATGGCACCTACAACGATGGCGAGAGCGATGGTGTGTGCAGCCTACTGACTGAAGAGGAGATGAGTAGTGCTTGCCTGAACCTGATGACGGACGCAACTCAGTGCCACGACTGCATTGCCTGCGAGACGGAAGACTGCATGTATCTTGGCAGTTGTTCTAGACCCTCAGACTTTGAGACTTTGGGTTTTTAGAGACATGTGGCGACCAACAGACGACCCAGACCTCGTTTCCAGACATCCAGATCACCCGCAGCAACTTCGTTCCAGACCCTCCGTTCCAGACCTCCGATCCAGACCCTCATTCAAGCCCGGGAGAGAAAGAGAGGGAGGCGATTTAGAAAAAGAGAGAAAGAGAGAGAGAGAGAGAGAGAGCGAGATAGAGAGAAGAATAGTCCGGATCAGATTGTCGGCCCGCCCGCCCGTTCCAGACTCCTATCCTGGCACGTTCCAGTCCTGTTCTAGACCAACACGCTCCGCAGCGTCCGGGGCGGCTGCCAGGCAAGATTTTGCATGCTGCATCCAACATCAAACTGTTCAGATGCCGCGAATAGAGTGTTCAAGACGGTCCGAACCGATCGATGTTCAAAGACCCAGTACTTGTCCCACCGAAAGCCTAAGTTTTAGCAAGGGATCAACAAACCACCAAGGTATGCAATCACAAATTGCGACGAGTACCTGGCAACTGTCTACACGGAGTGCTGCATAGAGGAGTGTGACGATCCTGCGGCAGGAATTATCATTGCATCTCTTGTCGCGACATGCTGTTGCTTCGCTTGCATCGCTGGCCTCTTCTGCTGCAAGATGAAGAGAAAGAGCGCAGGAGCCGCGGAGGTCCAGGGCCAGGTGATCGGGGTAGGACCCGCCGTGAATATGATGTGACGAGGCCAGGCGCCTCATGCAGATGTCACCGAGCCCCATATGTCGCGTGTCAACGTCGGGGGAGTGGCTTTCCGTTTTCCTCAAGAGGCTTCAACAGACCCTACCCTGAAACACCACGCCCTGCAAATGGCCGCGCCTCTCTTTGGGAAGCTTAGCAAGTTGCACAGAAAGCGCTGCCCAGCCTTAAAGGCAGGCAGCATCTTGCAGCTAGGCAACTCAGGCTTGGATTCATAAGGGGGCGAGCGAAAGGGCGGCAGGCCGCAAGAGTTTGCTCCTCACCCGGGATCTTGCTAGTGATGTTGCGTTTTCAGGCGGCGGGTTCACCAAGTATCCAGAAGCAAACTTGTTTTTTTTAGGGTTCGGCCAAAAGGTGAGTCGAGTGCACTGGGTTGGTCGTGGGTGGATTTCCAGGACCCCGACTAAAGTAGGGAGACATTTTTACGTTATGCCCCGGCTTCTGGACTCGAGCCACATGTTGGAAAGAATGTTTTGCTCCTCGGTCCTCTTCATGGATGCTCCTCAGCAGAGAATCCGAAACCCAGTTTCGGCGAAGGGCTCGATCGGCAGCTGGTGTTTTTTCAAGACAACAACTAAGTCTGGGAATGTGATCTTCCCTCACTTCTCCAGTTTCTGCACTGATTCGTTTTGGGAAGGTATCTTTCGGGGTGACGTGGATGGTTAAATACCAAGGTCTCGCAAAACCGATGGGAAACCCACAGTTTCCGCAACAAGTCCGATGTTTGTATGTCCTCATGAAGGTTGATATTGACATACTGGCCAATATGCCACTTTAGCCTGTGGCTCAAGCGCCAGCGGCTCTGCGACACCAAGCTGTGCAATGGCCACGCCTTTGCTCGAGATACTGGCACTGCTCGTGCTTCGCGCGAGTGCCAAGGGTGGAGGGGGTGCCCCAGCCCACTTGCATCCTGTGTTCCTTTCTTTTTTTTCGGCAAGGGTTTCCCTTCAGAATAAACCAACAGAAACAAGGTGCCCGTTTTAGTCCAATGGCCACTCGGAAGCACCGAGGCTCTTTCGGCTCTGGTGGCTTTGGAGGTTCAGTGGTGTCCTCTCGTGCTTCATATGCCAGTGCTGGTGCCTTTGGTGCAGTCGTGCTGCTTAGCGCTGGCAGCAGGCGGAGGTATGGCACCTACAACGATGGCGATAGCGATGGTGTGTGCAGCCTACTGACTGAAGAGGAGATGAGCAGTGCTTGCCTGAACCTGATGACGGACGCAACTCAGTGCCACGACTGCATTGCCTGTGAGACGGAAGACTGTATGTATGCAATCGCGAATTGTGACGAGTACCTGGCAACTGTCTACACGGAGTGCTGCGTAGAGGGCTGCAACGGCGAAGGTATTATCACTATCATCGTTCTTTGCGTTTTTGGTTGTGCAGGCAGCTTCTGCGTCGCCCTCTTCGTCTTCAAGGTGCTGAAGCACAGGGCCCTCGCGAGGAGCAGAGAGAGTCAGCATCAACCATCTAGTCAGCCATACGGTCAGCCTCAGGCGGGGGCAGTGGTCCAAGGCCGGGTGATGGCGGTAGGTGCTCAGAAGAACACCAACACCTTGTGAGCAAGATCGTCTCCTGCTTGGTTTTTGCCAAAATCATGACTGGTTGCCTTGTGCTCTTCAAATGGAAAGATGGGTGTGGGTCAAAAATAGGTACCCAGATTGCAACCCTGGTAAATGGAAACATGGACTAAAACCTGCGGTCCCCTGGTGGTTTAATTTTGACCCACACCCAATGACTCATTGGCTTGTGTTGTAATGGAAAGATCATGTTCTGGTAGGTTCTTCGGTCAAGGAGCCGCACCCACAGCCAGCGAGTTGAGTTTCTACAGCAGGGCTTTTTAAAAGATGCATTTTGCCCATTTGAAACATTTCTTTTTCAACACCAAAACAAAGGGACGCAAAACCATTGACAAGGCAATGTTGAGGTGTTTTTTATGTAAGGATCCCTGCACAGGAAAGCCGAAGCCCAAGTCTGTTGCTACCAGGCGTTGTTGTTTTTTTTTCACCGGCGCTGCTCCGGTGACCCAACCAGTCTGTAGCCAGAGCGGCCATGAGCCCTCACGCGGCTGCTTGAGAAGCTGAGGGAGTACCTGGGGTCTGGGGGCGGACCCGTACATCAGGCCAAGGCTTAGCTAAATGCTTCGCATCGGGTTTTTTGTGGGGGACTTACAAGCATTGTAGCTGGGTGGCAAAAAAAAACCAAACTGGGTTATGGGACATAACTGGGTGGCCAGGGTTCCGGGAACCATTTCGCTGACTCCCAAAGTACTTCGCCGCACACGGAGTTCCGATCCCGACCCCAGGGGGCACCCGCTTGTCCGAATGTATCACTCCGCCCATGTTGGGAGCGCCACGTATGTCTTATGTTTGCAAGGGGGACACCCCAAAAACACCAACAGTTGCAATGGCTTTCCTTTGGGTTTCCCTGCAAACCAAGGTGAAAGGCTTAATGCTGACCCCATATCAAGCAACCCCAGTTTAAAGATAGGGGGGTGTTGACATGTGTTGACCACCCCCCCAAAAGTGATGATTCCCCACTAAAACCAGGCCCCCCCTGCTAATAAACTGCTTGGTTCACTAATATGGGGCTACCCTCACACAACACACCCTGCACACAGGCGCACTCGGATTTGTCATGATTTGTCAAGAAGTGGGAATCTCGAAAGGGCACAGAGGGCCATCCTGCGCTTTTAAGAAGCTGGCTAGCCTTCGGCCAAGCTGCCTGCAGCTAAGCACCTGCATGGCGCCGGGCCGGTTCTTTTAGCTTCAGCACTCGGAACAAGGATTTTTTGAGAAGGCACTTGAGAAAGCACTTGGAACATGGTTGCCAGGGGTCCCTGACATTTCTTGCGACAATTTACGGCGCAGACTGCTGTAGGTCGAAGCCGCTGAGTGCCCCGCGAGCCCTTGCCACACGTTCGGCCGATCATGATGTCGGTTGATTGCATCACGCTGCTTCTGTGCATCGCGGAAACCAGAAAACGAAAAGGAGCTTTGCCTTCGCTGTTGCCGGCAAGTTGTTATTTTATCGTCTTTTATTTCTGTTCATTTCTACTAGGGAAGCCCAGATTTTTGAGCCCTGGTGGACTAAGGGGGTGTTTGGTTTTAGTGAGGGGAACCACCCTGTTCACAGGCCGAGATTGTGAATCCGGGGTCAACGTTAAACCGGCAAACGTCCGCTTCTTGGGTCAGATCCCTCCCAAGGAACTGGGCCCATCGGCACGGTTCGAGCGTCTTTTTTAGAGGCGCTGTACCCTTTTTGGGGTTTTGTTTCAAGGAAGCCACAAGGACGCCACCTATATTTTCGGGTTGCTGGTGTTCGATTCTTAGATTTCGCCCCTCCAAGAGAGGTCCACAAACTAGGACATGTCCCCACGACACTTCCATGTCGGTGGGTGGGAGGGTTCTCAGCAAGAATCTGAACTTGGGGATATGTTCCCACTATCTAGAAAAGCAGCTTCATTCAGAGTTGTGGGGAATGAAGGATGTTCCAGCTTCCTTTCCCTTCACATAGAACGAAGGAGTCATTTGGCAGGCCTTCCATTGGTATCAAGGAAGCGGAAATGCCTCTCCCAAAGGGCTGCATTTCCAGTGGACTCCTACAAGCCGGCCCATCGTCCGCTCGCGCAGCTCGTAGCTGGCGAAAAGCCGAGGTCACAGAGCAGCAGAGGCCCTGCTATGTCTGCGTCCAGGAATCCGACCTGCCGGGCGCGGTGTTAGGAGAACTGGTGTCTGACCCCCAGAAAAACCCTCTGGAACTGGCGGTTTCCTTCAGCCTGGGTTGATTCCCTCACTCCCTACTTAGAGCACCAGCAAGCAAACAGGTCTTGTGTATGTTATTCATTCCCTGAACAGTTACTTTAGGCGAGGAAGGGGACTCAAAACATGAAACCATTTCTGTGGTGTGAGGGTCTGTGGTCTTGGTGCTCCTTTGCATTTCTTTTTTTTTTTTGCTTGTTTGTGTCGCTTGTCTTTATGTGTTGGTTCGTGCTGTTGCTTGTACTCATGTTTAGTAATTCTTGTCATGCAGTTCCTGCACATGTGGCTTGGTGCAGCTAAGTAACTAGGTACAAACCATGGTCTGAGGTGATTGATGACAGGTTCACTAGTTTATATGCATATAACCTGGTGAACATCTGCCTTTCGCAAAACTTGAAACAGGCCCCTGTTCCAAGACCCCAATATGGCTGAATTGAGCTTCGGGCGGTTCAAAGGCTATCTGCTGATCATGGCCTTGAGTTCCTTCAAAGGACTACCTTCGTATCGGGCTCTCAATTCGGGATGTGAATTCGGATTGGCCAACCCTCGGCCTGGGATCATTCCCTTCCCTACTTCTGAGCACCAGCAAGTAAACGGGTGCTGTGTATGTTACCAGTTTTTGTTGGACATGGTTGTGACATGTTTTGCCCAGAACCAGCACCTGCATCGAAGGTTGAAGGTTTGTGCCCACAAAGACAATGAGCAACTGACAATATATGGCAGGACATAGGGGGCCCGGGAACAACCCGATTTTCCCACAAAAGCCGAGGGTTGATCCCAATTTCCTCATGTTCTTTTGTCCGAGGTTATATGGTCTGTGGGCAGGGTCCCTTCGTTCGTCTCACTCCCTGCAACCAGGAAGATGGGCCAGGTGAGTTTGACCCCTAAGATGTAAGGATTCCCTCATCGCAAGTTTACGAACCACAAGCGAGGGCAAAATGCGGATCTTTTCCTTGGTCATGTCAGGTATTCATGTGGGTGCTTGTTGAGGCTCGGAACCCTTGGATTGGTTGAGGGAAGCCAAAAGGAGCATCGAGATGTATTTGGGGGTTCCCTTTCTGCGCCAAGCCCCACGTGGTTTTTTTGTCGACGCGCACACTGTTGCGGATTTTCCGGGGCTCGGTTCAGAATCCCCGAAGCTTCGAACTCTGATCCTAAGCTCGGGCTTTTCGGTTGCCCAAAAGGACAGCTAAAAGGGCCACGAAAAGTTTCCAAAGTGAAACCAAACTTCAAGTGTGTCTGGGTCAAAATTATCAACTCCCATCTTGGGATGGCAAATATCAAACATGAGCATTGCTGTGGAACCATTAGTACCCCATTTTTGACCTGCAAGCTCTAAATCAAAAGTATCCAGAGACAGTCAGCACCAAAATCCACAGGGAAACTGCATATCCTGAAACAAGCCACGGGCTCCCTAGTTAGTTTGGGCAGCCATTCTGTGCAAGATGATACATGCGACCGGCCAAAGGAGCCCAAAATAGGCTATGCCGCTGAGTGACCATTGGTACCTTTGCACGGGTTTTTCTTTGCTTCAGCCTTCGGAGGTACACTATCACCTTTAGAGCTTCCTTTCGGTGTGGTATCGCTTGAAGTGAAAGTTGTAGGTAACCCACACCTTCATCAACGGAGCTATCAGTCCTTTGTTCACGTTGAGACCTCACACCATCTTGAAGGAACCTCAGATCAGCTACTTTTTCCCATCACAGTTCCCAACAAAAAGCACTGTTGCACATTGGGGTTCTGTACCTCCAGGATCACCTCCTCATCGCCGCCGCCGACAACTCGGTGCTCTGCTGGGATCTCGCTCTGCTGGCGGAGGCGGCGGCTGAGCCGCGAGAGCCGCAGAAGCCGTCGCGGGTGCTGCCGCTGTGCGCGGCGCAGGCGCGGGGGGCCGTTTGACGACATCTGGGCTAACTTCCGATTCGGATAGAGGAAGATCAGTAAGGGATAGTCCCAACCAGAAATAGGTGCCCGAATAAAGGAAGATCACGCCCATTTGCTGAAATCAATAGTTGTTTTCCCATCTAGCACTACTGGAAATCTACTTTTATTTGTTTCCAGGCGACTCAAAACATATGGATGCTAAGAGAGACCACAAATTACACAATGACAATCAAAGTGCTACCCTACTACATACCTCTGATGGCCATGAATTTCAAGAGTTCGAGCCCCCGATGAGTGGTTGGCGGACATGAATCCCCACTTAAATGACGTCCACCAGAGGGCAACCTACAAATGGCTCTGAGTTTTATGAGTGAAATCTCCCTTGAGTTTATGAGTTTTATGAGCTCGGGCCATTTTTTTTTATGAGAGAACTGCCTTTGACACTCCCCGCATGTCCATGCCATCGTCAGGTGGGGTGCCGCGTGCATAGCCTGGCGCAGGGCCAAGTGCTGGCGCTGGGCCTGGAAGACGGCGGCTTGGCTTCGGAAAGCCAAAGCGGCTTGAGTGCAGGGCTTGAAAGATCTCCATGTTGCAACCCGTTGAAACATGTTGGATTTTTGTTCACCAAAATAAAGCTGGAAACAAAAACCATGTACAAGTTGCCATGTTCGGGTGTTTTTCATGCATCCGGATCCCTGTTGTGTTCCTGTCACATTCTTGTGGGGCGGGGGGGGTGTCCCTCCTGAGTTCATGGACTTTCACTTGGGGTTGGACCAGTTTAGTGGCAACCAACAAGTTTAGACTATTTTTGGTCAGTCCACTCAGAAAGTGAGGTGTAGTGGATTGGATGGATGGAGGTTTGCTGCCATGTTGCCGTGTTGTTCTTGGGAGGGTGTGTGTGTGTGTGTGTGTTATGTGTGTGTGTGTGGGGATGGTTGGTTTTGAAGGGACTGGATGGATGCTGCGGTTCCTTTTGTGTTGGGGTGGAGGTGTTCGTTGCGTGCACCAAGAGATGGATGGATGGGCGGACGGACGGGCGGACGGATGGATGGATGGATGGAGGTGTGTGCGATGGTGTTTCAGGTTCCCGCTTTCTGTGCGTGGCCAAGGACCTTTGAAATGACAGTGTAGTCATGGCACAGCCTATTTGTGACACACAGACAGGCGCATGTTTCAAAACATGCGGATTTGTTTAGGATAAATGGAACATGAAGAAACTGAAAGCATATTTTCGGTGCACCCCAGATTTGAGTCCAAGAGGGTTTGCTGTCAAGGATATCACCTGTTACTTCTGTTTCAGGGCTTTCCCTTTTCTTTGTTTCTTGGTTATGTGTGTAACTTGGACTTAAGTTGTGTGGAACCAGCTAGAACCACATGGGAATGGCCATGGGATCCTTTTGGCCATACGCTTGGGTGGGCTGGTTGCACAAAGAAACCCTGCTTTGGCCATACGCTTGGAATTGGATTTGAACCCCTGGTTCCTGTAGAGGGTAAATGGGAAACCCCTCCTTAACCACCAAACCACCAATCTAATCCAACCTGCCAATTGGAGGGAAGCTGACAATAGCTGTTTAAACATGTTTAAACAGGGGGTCGGCTTGGCTCACGCCAGATCCAGGAGGGACCCATGATTTGTTTGGGACAGGGCTTTCAACAGAAAAGTGAATCTGCCCGACCAACATCCCAGGCCCCCGAGTTATCCTTTTGACACCAACTTTCTGACACAACCTCGTCTTTTTGAGGCGGAACCGCGCTCCTTTCCAACCAAAGAGGTGGGCAATCAAGCAATGCTCCGAAGTGGTTGGGGGCACTCATATTCTTTCTTATCGGTCAAGTTGATTTGCTAGCTGCAGGGTGTCCTATAGTACTTGTGTTACACATCACCCCTGCCAGAGGAAACTCACCTTACGGGGCCCAAAACGGGATGCTTAAAACCAAAAAGGGAAATGTTGGCGTGTTTCTTTTGAGGGTACCCTTCTTAGGGTTGGTTCAAAGGGAAAACAAAAGGACAACCACAATTTTGAGGGTCCTAGTTTGACATATACCCATATGGGCTTTGTCCGCTTTTGTTTTGCCGTCCAAGACACACTCTACCCACGAATCTCCAAACAAGCTTGAAATGTGGAAACACATGCCATGTTTCACAAACACAAATGGAACAACAACTGTTTTTCTCGAACAAAAACACACCAAACACACCAAACAAACAAAACACCGTTTTTCTCGAACAAAAGCACACCAAACAAAAACAAACAACCGCTTTTCTCGAACAAGAACACACCAACCAACCCCAAAAAAGACGCTTTTCTCGAACAAAACACACCAAACAAACAAAGAACCGTTTTTCTCGAACAAAAACACGCCAAACAACCCCAACAAAACACGATTTTCTCGAACAAAGACACACCAAACAAACAAAACAACACTTTTCTCGAACAAGAACACACCAAACAACCCAAAAACATGCTTTTCTCGAACAAACACACACCAAACAAACAAAGAACCGCTTTTCTCGAACAAGAACACGCCAAACAACCCCAACAAAAAACGATTTTCTCGAACAACAACACACCAAACAAACAAAACAACACTTTTCTCGAACAAAAACACACCAAACAAACAAACAACCGCTGTTCTCGAACAAGAACACACCAAACAACCCCAAAAAACGCTTTTCTCGAACACACACACACACCAAACAAACAAAGAACCGCTTTTCTCGAACAAAAACACGCCAAACAACCCCAAGAAGAAACGCTTTTCTCGAACAACAACACACCAAACAAACAAAGAACCGCTTTTCTCGAACAAGAACACACCAAACAACCCCAACAAAAACGCTTTTCTTGAACAACAACACACCAAACAATCAAAGAGCCGCTTTTCTCGAACAAAAACACGCCAAACAACCCCAACAAAAAACGATTTTCTTGAACAAAAACACACCAAACAAACAAACAACCGCTTTTCTCGAACAAGAACACACCAAACAACCCCAAGACAAAAAACGCTTTTCTCGAACAAAAACACACCAAACAAACAAAGAACCGCTTTTCTCGAACAATAACACGCCAACCAACCCCAACAAAAACGATTTTCTCGAACAAAAACACACCAAACATTGAGAAAAAAAAAAGCCCCACACACACACACCTCGGGCCTCACAGGTATGGACCCTGCAAAGAGCGTCCGCTCGTTCCGCTGGTTCCGCTGGTTCTGCTCGAGCCGCAGGCAGCATCGAGCTGCGGAGTCCCAAGCTGTCGCTGCTGTCCCGGCGCGTGGGCCACCGCTCAGCGGTGTCGGCGCTGCAGATGACGGCGCCTCGGGATCTCGGGCGGCGCGTCGGCGCGGAGGTCGGAGGTCAGGGGGGTCCATGCGAAATTGACCCCCACAGAAATGGTGGTTTGTCGCTGAGAATATGGTTCTGTCGGCGTTGAAAGCCATGGCGTTGAAGGGATTGGCACAACATGGGCCAGAAAGAGAAAGCCAAAAAGACCCATATGGAGCTTTCTCAAAATGGTGGAGGTTCCTTCCAAAACGGGTGGCTGTCTCCCAACCCTCTTTTCCACTATTTGTTTAATCTTTCAGATTTCAGGCGCTTGCAAATATCCTAAAGTGAAGACCAAAGTCAAATCTCTTCAGAGACCCTAGAGAAAAGAGATAAACTCAGCCTGCAGTTGATTCCGTGTCCTGTTGTTTTTGTTTCGGTTTGTGGACTCTATATTGAAGCATGCCTGGGTTTTCTTTTGCTAAGATACTGCTGGAATATGACCCTGGCAGAAAGGGGACCCATCTCAAGCTTAGGAGCAGGGTCTTGTGACCGGAGACGACACAGGGAACCTCATCAGCTGGAAGTGCGACGAGACGCTGCCGGGGGAGGACTGGGAGATCCTGTGGACGCTGGGATGCACAATTTTGCAGGAGTCCCGTTTTGGTGCGTTTTCTTTTGGGGTCCCCCCCAAAACAAATGGTGGTTTTCGAAGTTCTCCTGAAAAACCACCAAACAAGGGGTACTCTCTTAGCGCAATCTCAAGGGGTCTCCTTTGCGGCGGATTTCCAAGAAGGATTGTGGATTGGGGATTGGCCAATTGGGTTTGAGGTTGCCATTTCTGTGAGTGGCCATGGAGATCCCGCTTTCAGTGAGAATGGCCGACCGAAGGGGCTATTTCACAACTTGTATATTATTTTGGCAGGATGCGTTGCAATGGCCGCCAATTAAAGTATGTACCCTTCACTTTGCTTCAATTTTGTGGGACCCACGTGTTCTAGGAGCCTCATGTATGGAACAATTCCTGTCATCAAGGACAACCATGAGGGTGCTCTTTGTTAAGGGCAGCTCAACCATTTGGTGTCGAAAAGACAAACACTATTTTGGTGCGCCATTTTGGGGGGATCCCACCAAAATGGTAGTTGCCCTTTGGCATCCCTTTAAACCCACAAAAAGGGTGGTACCTTCCATTTTGAACTGTGTAGGAATGGTCACCTTTTTCAGGCAAGCTGGTTTGGTGGTTTGGGGACTTGACCCCATGGCTTTTGCACAGGCTAAGGGGAAGCTACCCGGAACCTCAATCCAAATCAACTGGGTAGATGGCTTTTGCTTGGTCAATCATGAAGTACTTTGCTTTTTGCTGTTCCACTCGTCTGCCCCTCCAACCCTTTTGAGCCCCGAAATTTCAAATTGATAGCAATTCCTACCATGGCAGTGGTTGCTATGCTCAAACAAAATGAGTTCGTGGGTTCTGGCGCTCGCGGGTTTGAAGAATCGTCGGGGGGTTTGGCCGCCCTTTGGCTCCTCCCTCCCAGTCCGGCAGTCCGCGAGGTCGCAGCAGCACACGGGCCGCGTGGTGGCGGTCACCGAGGCGGCGGGGGACTTGGTGGCCAGCGCGGCGCTGGATGGCCGCGTCATCGCCTGGGATAAGGCTCCAAGGGGGAGGGGGTGGGGGGGGTGGGGTGGGGCAAATGGGTCTGTTTCTTTGCTCGGACCCCAGAAATGGTGAGCTACCCCCAACTTAGGCGGAAGGTGGGGATCAACCACTTGCAGCTACCCTAGTTACAACCATGGTTATAGCATACTTGCTAAGTTGGGTGAACATCGTGCCTTTGGAACCACAGAGAAGGGCACTCCCATATGGGTAGTTTGTGTCACAATGAAGATTTGGACTCCTGTAAATGTTGTTTTTTCTTGTGGTTTTGGTTTTGGGGTGAGAAACTGCAATACTCCTGGGGCTATTGGGCAATTGAGGGTCACAATCGCTTTTGCTTGGCCTCTTTGACGAGACGGCTCTGAAGCAATTTTGGAAAAGTGCAGGCTGCAAGAGGACTTGCACTACTACCCCAAACCCTACTGCAACAGGCTAAACATTTGGAATGGGGTTGTGAGGTACCTTAAACCCAAATTTTGTCATGATTACAATATCATATTGTGTGCAACTATTTAGCCCCTTATGTTACGCACTTGAATATCTACGTTGGTTGTAGCAACTTGCGTTTCCGACTTGGTAATCTTCTCAGACAAGGGGGTCAAATGCAAGCTTTCTGCCACTTGGAAGATCTTCTTTGGTGGATTTTGCAGTACATACGGACCAGAATCAACCGCGGCATTTTCGATGGGCAAAAGCTGGGGTAGACTTTAGCTGCGCATGGAGGGATACAAGGTTCATTCAAATCTTGGGCATTATCCCTGGTTCTTTGTGAAAGCAAGTGGAGAGGTAGGCCCCCATAAAAGGACCAAGCCCCCGGCCCCCAAACTACCAATCAGAGTCGCAGAGTCTAGGGTCCCAGAAAAGATGTGAGAGAGAGGCTAAACTCTGGTGCAGAGATATGCTTTCGGTGATTTAGTGAAAACCCAACACAGAAACCTTCAGGAACGACAAAAGGCCCCCCAAAAACGATAGCTTCCCACCCAAAGTGGTTTCTGGTTTTGCAGCTCGCTCATGTTGTGTTTTAAGGTTGACCAAATATGGAGCATATTTATTGGGTACCCCAAAAGGCCAAGCTGTGTTTTTCCTTTTGGTTCACCAGATGTGGGACGATGAGGAATCCCCAGCGCCTTTGGTTTTTGCTTGCTCAAGATTTAAACCTTGCTTAATGAGTCTATCTTCCATTATGTTTCTTTCCTGTTGGGTTTAAAGAGGATCCACCACTACTGGACATATGTTTCCAGGGGCAAATGGAGTTGACGTTGATATGCTTGTTGACGTGGGCATGTGCCCGCATTGCTGGTTGAACGCGGCAACAAGGCAGCCCAGAAACATAATAATTTTGCCAACTGGCGAACAATACACTGGAAAACCAACACCCCTCACACTGGGTGTCAGTTTACGTGTTTTTTGTTAACGGTCCACTTGATGTTTGGTAAAATAGGACCTCGCACCGAAGGAAGCGGGGGTGGCGTGTTCAACGCAGGGACACACAGGGGCGAGGTAACCATTTTCAGGGCAACCCTCGCGCGGAGTTTGGGCGATGCATTGGGCGGGTTCCCTCATGGACTCCTTGGACCTTAGTTGGGCTTGGCTTTGGCTTTGGCATGGATGTTCAGTCATGCAAGCCCAAAATGTTGAAAGGCCGCGGCAGGTTGAGCAAGGCCATGCATACTCAAAGCGATGGGACAACAGACGGGACCCCCAAAAGGGGAAACCATTGCCCGCCCTCTAAAACCACTCCTTTAAGGGACACCCTAAAAAGGAGACACCCAAATGGGTATGGGTCAACATTTCAGCACCATGGCAACGCAGGTTTTGATCCATGTTTCCACCCAGAGCAAGCCATTTGGGGTACCGATTCTTGACCCACAGCCGTATGGCGCACATTTATTGGGTACTCCAAAGGGCCAAGCTGTTCTAGTTGGTTCACCCAGATGCGGGACGATAAGGAATCCCCAGCGCCTTTAGTTTTTCTTCGCCCAGCCAAATGTTTGGCCAAAAATCCCGTTTCCTTTGCATGTCTTGGGGTACCGATTTTGACCCACGGCCAAATGGTTTTGCCAAACATTCCTTCGTTTTTGGTTTCCTTTTTTTTCCATGTTTTTCCTCTTCTTTTTTTTCCGGCATGTCGCGGCGCCTTGTCAGGAGGACGGGAGCTTCGTCTTCTGCATTCCCAGCCACAAGGCGTCAGGGAAACCAACTAGCAGGGATACAGGGGGAACCAGTTGGATACGGGAGGATTCCCTTCACTAAGTTTATGGGAAATGGCGCCAAGGGAATCCCGCCTCCGTATCCCCGCTTGTTGGTTTGTCCAAAAGGCGATTGATCTGATCCGAGTGTCTCCGGGATCTGTTGGGCCAGGTAGGGAGACAAAATCTACGCCCCTTGGCACCACTTAACATGAACGAAATCCTATGCATACTGGAAGAAATCAGCTACCAACTGGTGCAAAGTGGACTCTACCCATCCGCGGGCCAGCGTTAGATGACTTTCGCTTCGTGATGCTGAAAGTAAACGGGTCTCTAAAGGACTTTGTTTCCTGGAGGGGGGTGTTTAGGCGAGGTCCCCTTTACTGCCCTACAAATTGCAGTAGCATGAAACCCCAAGCCTGAGTCTCATTTTGGGGGGCGTGCTATAGAAATTTGCAGGGTATTTCCTATTGGAAGCTCCAGGAGCAAATCGATCAACTTGTGAAGGCCAGGTTAGTGAGCCGATGCAAGGAGCTTAGCCGGGAGTAAAGCCATGAAGATCCCTAGGGGATTCCTTACTGGTGTGTCATTATAAGGGGTCCCCTAAAGCCAGTATCTTGAGAGCTTCTCAAAATAGTGTTCGTGTCCGGGACCTTGAGGGTAATCTTGAGGATGTCACTTTATTGAACCCTGTTGGAGGTTCCAGTCACCATATGCTAGGTAGCCAAGTTTGGACTCCCGTTTAATTACAAACCGGGTAAAGCGTTTGGTAACCTACCCTAAGTGTCCTTTTCAGGGTACTTTGAGTAGAAACAGATGGGTTCCAGTTCCACTGGTTTAGATGAGTGTTATGCCATCCACCAGTGCAACCCAAGGATGCTACCAAAAGGACACCTATGCATACATAAAACTATTCGCCTCGGGGAATCACTCGCCGAAGGCCTGGCTGGGCTCCGTGTGCGTCTCGGAGGACGGGCCAAACAAACGGGCGGGCGAGTGGGGCGGGCGAGTTACCTAAAACCTTCGGGCCCTCAACATGCCAACATTTTAGGGGTTCCCCTTGCCTTCCCTTAGGTTTAATTAGGCCCCCCCAACAAAGGACATGCTCAAGTAGAGGGGTTCAATTCCATTTGGGCGTGAGCAAATAGTAGAACCTTGACTAGACCAATTGATCGTTTTCCCCTCTGGCGCCCTTGCAGCACTCCTATGCAAATGTGGGTACTCCCTGCAAACTGTAAATCCACATAAATCCACCAAAATGAGCTCCCTGTGTTTAGGTTCCATGCGAATCTGCAGGAGAGTCTTCGGACACGCGGTTCCCTACCCAGATGCCCATGTTCCTATGCGAATTATTTCCGGTTTTGGTCCATGACGACCCTAGGGATCATCTACCAACATAGGTCCATCTTGGTCCGAAGAGTTTTCCTTTCCTCCGTCATGAGCCCCACGCCCCGCAAGGAAGGCGACCTCATGGTCACCGATGGCAGGGACAATGCGCCTGGGTTTGGCTACGCTTTAAAACCGGCTTTAAGTAGTCAACTCTCTACACCTACGGAGTTGTTACAACCTTTAAGCTTTGAACTGTTTTAGACAGTGCATGTTGCCCAATCCTACTACTACTACTACTACTACTACTACTACTACTGCTACTACTACTACTACTACTACTACTACTACTACTACTACTACTACTACTACTACTACTACTACTATCAAACTGCTTTACGTTTTGGAGTCAAAGACCAACACACAATTGTTTGCTGAGTCATGCCTGTCCTGCAGTTGTGCTTGGTTTTATGTTGGTTGCCTTTGGTCAATGATTCTTACCGTACATTGTTGCCTCCTGCTTCAATGATCATGGTGGATTCACATGTCAAACTGTATCAAACTTATGCCTGCTGCCAGTTGCCATTCCGCAATCAACCAAGGGAAAATAGAAGTCATATCAAACCTTCAGGTAGTACAACTCATTGGATCGAAATAATTTGAGTCGCCACCCGAGGCCCCAGGAATTTTCAGAAACGGGATGCCTGTGGCAGGGGGGGGGGGTGGGGTTACCTAAAGATTGCCCTGACCGGCTTATCAGAGGGAAAACAGTTTCTTTCTTTCCAAGGAAAGCACATGGCTTTTGACAAAACAGGGACCAGCCCTAGACTTCAGTCTCTCATTTTTTGGGGGTAGGTTGCCCTTAACAACCAGCCAACAAAACGAGTGCCCAGAGAAGCACCCAGACTTGCTGGTTCTGAGAAGGCAATGAATCTAGGGATTCCTTTGAAGAAAGCGAGGATGGTTCAGTTTGGGGTCATTCCATCTCATTCCAGCTGCGGACCAATGATGTTATTTCGGGGTCAGGGTCCCCGGAAACAAAAAAAGAGAAAACCCTCGCATTCTTGGGTCGCGCTGCGAAAGATCTGGGGTACCTTGACCCAGGCGGTGTATCTCTACGACTTTGGCGCAGGGGAACCCTAGCTGAGCGAGAGACTCCGCCGATCTTTCCGCGAGTCTTCGACTCATTGCGGAAGATTTCCCAAGAGCGGCGAAAAGTGGAGAGGGATCCTGAGGTACGTACAACTTGGCCACTCAGAAAAGTCAAGCTTGCCACATTGGGCATCTCTTAGCTGTTTCTCTGATTTAAGCTGGCTGTTGAGGAAGCCCCATTCTGAAACGTGTGCTATTGATCATATGCGCAATGGACATGATTGCCAGATTGGGGTTGTCCATTAGGACTTCTACAGGTGGATGGGTATCGGTTTTTGGTGGGCCCTCGGTTCCTTCTCATTGTCAGCTTGTACTTTGAGCCCTTTGCACTGCTCAAAACCCATCGAGTGCCTTTCTGAACCGAGCCTTGGAGAAAGAACGGGGCGGGTTTCTATCGTAATGGCGAGCTGGTGGTTAATATTTTCAAGGGACACCAAAGTGAACCGCCCCGTGTTGGGGTTCCCCTTGTGAGACAAACCTGAGCATTGGATGTGCTGTTCCCTTTACGTCTGGTTATTATCAGGGATTCCCAGCTGGGTTGCTCATGATCCAAACCCGCTAGAACAGTGGCTCGTTTTGTTTGACTCCCTGCATTGGCCGATCTGATCGAATGGGATGCGCCCCCCATGGAGTTAACATCGGCCTACCAGACCGAATGGAAGTTGATCCTGCGCGTTTCCCCCAGAATGACCCAGGTCGCCTCGATGGCTCGAGCCGCCTATTTGGGTCTTCAACCAAGCTAGTAGTTAGTAAGCCAGCTTATGGCCCACCTACCGGGCAAATTCAGTCCTGGGACTTTGCAACCCAGATGAATCTCACCCCTAGCTAGGTAGCAATCCACGTATGGTCCAATTGAAAACGAGCCCTCCCTAATATGAGGGAGCAGCGGAGCCTCGCCTTGTCCAAGGCCGGCCCAGGCTCGGTACATGAACTTGGTTCAAAGGGAAACCATGTAGTAAACGGTCCCCAGGTTTTGGTTCCGAGTCTTCTTTTTTTTCGGCTCCGCCCATTTTCGGGTCCGAATCCTCATCTTCACAGGCTTCTGGCCATTTCTGGCCTTTTGCGGCTCCAGGGGTAGTCGCAAGCGGCCCTTTCCCCCCGACCTCAACGCAGTTTCGATCCGCGGCGCCCGGCCGCGGAGATCGAAGTGAGATCCATGCGGCTCGGCCGGAGGTCTTCGGCCAAGTTGCGAGATATTGGCTCAGGGCCCCTTTTTGACCCGGGGGGGCGGGATCCGGGTCCATTTTTTTAGACCTGGGGGCAGTGGGTACCTGGGAGGGGGGTGGGGTTTACCCGAAGAAACCCTACGAGGTGGAAGCTGGCGCTTGCGCTGGTGGCGGCGGAGGCCGCCTCTGTCAGCCCCATGGAGAAGGCAGGAAGCCAAAGCTCAGCCGCGCAGATTCTCCGAAGTGTGGTCTGTGCATGGAGGTTCGGACAACGTTTCCAGTGGTCTACGTTCCAGTTGGGGACTCGGGGGCCTCGCTCATCAATAAGTTCCCACATCAACTGCATTGCCAGCCGAAGGTGACTAATTAGTGACCGTCAGGGATCCGGTGCCATCGACAGTGGCAAAAATGTTCCCCCGAAACAGCAGGTTCAAGCAAAAGGTGTTTGAGCGTGTTTGAACAGCTCGGCACAACCCCTGCCTGGAGCCTGGGTAGGTAGGTATCCAAAGGATTTGAGATCATACTTTCACTTCCAACCAGTTTCTGGGCAGCGGTCCCTCTTTGGAAGATAGGGAAAGGGATGTGCGCCGACACCGACCTGAAAGGCACATGAACATGTTTCTAGAACTCCACAGCCCCCCTTCCTCCGTTCCCGCAAAGCCAAGCCCTGACTTGCGGCCGTACCAGGACACTAGCTGGAGGAAACCAGGGGAAGAGGGACAAGTAGTTTACGGCTGGCGGCCGCGCCCGCAATCTTGAACAACTACTCTATGCATATTGCCCGTTGCGGGTATGAGGTTCTCATGATCGTCTCCGCAGGTGGTTACGATGCTGTCAGATCTGAAGGAGGAAGTGTCCAAGGAGCCATCTCGCGACGCTTGCGCCTCACCGACTCGACTCCAATCTGTTCACCTACGTCGGTTTGCGAGCAACTGAGTTTTTCCCATTGCGCTACCTGGTATAGAAATTCTTGTCTCAAGGGGCAACACGTAAAGTGTCAAAGGAGACCCTTTGTGACCGCCGGACATCTCCGGACATGGACCAAACAGGGCTGGCAGCATTGCAGGGTCAGCCCAGGCTTATGGATGGTCATGAACCCTTAGATGTTGGTTGACACATATGCTTTGTGAGGTCAACATGTCCAGTCGCTCGCAGAAACAACGCAGGTGGATTTTTTGCGCGTGCTCTGCCTATATTTTGCGGGTGGCTCACATACGGTTGCGACTCTGCTTTGCTGGATAAGGAGAGCCGGTGGGGTTGGGGTGTTGAGCCACCTGCGCGGGTGATGTTGCTCTTTTGATGGATGTTCAGCCAACTTGATAAGTAGGTTATAACCATGGTTGTCACTGGGGTTAGCCCCCTTCTAACCATGGTTATAACCTACTAAGTGGTTGAGGGGACTAAAATTCTTGTTGACTGTGTATTTGGAGCAGGGTACCCTAAACTGGTCCCAACAAACGAATTGGTTCCGATCGCTTGCATCAAAGGACAATCGCGGGTTCTTTTGTTTCCGCATCCGAAACGGGGAATCCATTTGTCAGAAGTCATGCAGCAAGTCACGCAATACCGGAGAAGCCTTTTAGGTTTTCGTTCCAGCGCCAGGAGGGCGCTTCAGAGGAGGCGAACTTCAAGAAGTACAGCGACTTCTGCGGCACCACCAGCGCGACAGCCCAGCGTTCTGGGAACTCTCCGGGGAGGTTTAGGGACTGGGGATACTCCGCAAGGACGCGTTTTCTTGTGGGAAATGGACTGGGTGTTGAGGTCACTTTCCGAGATTGACAAAGTTTTGATGGGAGTCAGCCATGCAGGGGTGTTGTGCCATCACAGAGTTGTTTCCCACAACCATGCAGCCAGTTTTGCGTGCGGTTGTTCCCTTATTTTCGGTTAGGTTCCTGAACAACCAAACAAGAGGCACCCTTTCTTTCTTGTTTGTGTTTGCTCGATTCAAAACCAACCAACACCCAAACGCTGTAGGCGTCCTTTTTGAGGTGAGTTGGGCTGAAACTAAACGGCGCTTGTTTTAGTTTGGCTCTTATCTTCTTTCTTTGAAAAGGACACCTAGGCTTAGCAAGCGGGTTTACAGGGAGTTAACGGGTGCGGGGGTGGGGGGTGAACTGGGGACCACTTAGCTCACTCCTGAGGTCCTCAGGGCAGGCCTTGAAAGGATCAGCAGGCAACTGAAGGGCAGCAGGTGCTCGCAGCTCAGAGCCCCACCAGCACCGGAGGGCGCCTCAGTTCTGCCGACCGCTCGAAACCGAGTCCAAAAGGGCCATTTTGACTGGTGGTCCTACTACCTTGTTTTTCATGGTTGCAGGAAGGCTTTTATGGGTTGTGTCTTTTTTAAGGGGCCTCCCAAAATGTTGGAACCACCCAACAAAAGGTCCCTCAAAACAGAGATGCGTATGAACAAACAAAAGAAACAAGGCTGTACCATGTTGGTAGGATCAAAAGTCAGATCGGTTTTGGGGGCGAACTCGCGGGCAAGATTCTGAGGCTCCGCCAAGGAGGCAGCCATCAAGCTCGGGGAGGACAAGGCGTGGCAGTTTTGATGAATGACTTGGTGCGAGAAGCAGGGAATGAGACACGGAGTGACCCCTATGGGCCATTTAAGGGAATCTCACTTCCTGAGTTCATGAACTTTTCACTTTTTCGGAAGACCATTTTGGTGGTAAAAAAGAAGAAGTTAGTTTGGGTGCTTTTTTGGGGCCATCCACCCAGCAAGCAAGGAATCCCACCTATGGTTACACTTCCTCCCATGGAGCCTGTGGGATCTGGGAGTTTCAAGTGCCATGGCAACGTGGGAGGGGGAGTAATGGGTATTCAAAGGAAAAACCATAAAACCACCACCGTTTTTGGGAACCATCGGGCTGGTTTAAAAAAGACACCACGTGAGCACCACCTTCTTTTTGGGAGGGGGGTCCACCATTCTGAGACACCCTTAATTACATGAGCAGCGCCATAAACCCTGATGACCCCAGAGCAGGTCCCGCGAAAGTCTGATGATTTGGGAGTTGTATTGCGGCAAGGTTTTTATGCTGGCGCATGCGAATGGAGGTCAAAGCTATCCGTATAGGACATGTTCTCTCTTCTATATTTAGGGGTAAAGTTTTCAGAGAAATTAAGGCAACAACAGTTTGGACTTGTTTGGGCGGTGTTGCTTTCAGGAAGTGCGTTGTGGGCTAGTCTTATGATCTTTTGGGACCGGTTGTTGCAGACAATGGGGCTCAGAGGACTTTGAAGGCCAATTCTGCCAGCAATCGACATGGAAGTGGACAAGGGGCCCTTTCAAGACTTGCTCTTTTCCATGGTTGGCAAGAGGGTACACTTCTTGGGGCGTGGGCATTCTTTTCCTGACCACTGATCGCTGGATCCTTTGGCTAACAGCTATCCAAAAGCAGATTTCTTTCAAGCGGTTTTTGATTCCAAGTTAGTTGCTCCCCTGCAGATTCACATGGAACCCATAAACGTCGGCGTTTAGAGGAAGAGCCTTTGAGGGGGTCCCCTTTTGGCGTTCCATGCTAGTCTGCAGGGAGCACTCCGCAGGGATGTGACAGCCGCCTCGACTCGGAAAGGCGGCGGAGCATACGGCCAGCATCACGCAGAAGTCCAGCGCCTATGAGGAGCACTTGGACAGTGCGAGGCGAAATCCATACCTCCATGGTCCCATTTTGGGGTAGGCGCGCCACCCATTTTAGAACCTATTTTCGTGGGGATTGGGATGTTCACTGGGGGTACGATTTGGATTTTGACCCATGCTCATATATCAAACCCCGAGCATCAATTAGTGCCTTGTGAGAAGCCACCAAAGAGGGCCAAGGTCTCTTTGCCACGATAGGAGGACAGTCCCAAAAACACAGAAGCAACCAAGTACATACAGGTTGCATACTCTGGTATTTTGCACACAGGCATGTGGCTTTTCCCCTGGAGATACTGCAGGGGAGTTGCTGCCATAGAAGATATATGAATGCCCGAGTTGCTTGATATTTGCTGTACAGTTGCAACCTGAAAAGCAACTGGAATGAAGACCTGGAGACCGCGAAAAACATCCGTGAGGCAGTGGATGAGTCCCTTAAGGCTCGTGCTGTGGGCCGAAAAAAAGTTTAAACAAGCACCAGGCCCCCTAAGTGAGCTTCGAATGGCCGTTTTGGGGCCATTTGCCATGAAAGGGCGCTGGCAAGGCAAGGACCCCTTTTAAAGGAACACAGCATGATAGCGAGTGGACGTTGGAGCACTCACCGTTTCTTGTTGCCTCATCATACCCTTCTCAGCCGAAGTCCGGTGTGTAAAGCACCGGATCGGATCGATCGCCTTCTAGTTCCAGAAGCTCAAGTTGCGCACCATTTGTTGCAAGGGCGTGTCGACTACCCTTCATTTTAAACAGGTCTGCCGTCTACTTCCATGAAACAATCAAGAAGGGCAGATGCCCTCGAATATTTGAGGTTCCAGTTTGAAGAGACACCCTCAGCGCCAAAACGGAAGCTCGCCAATCAAACCGGCCTTTCCAAACAATTGAACAGCAGCACGATAACCATTGAACGCATCCAATCCCCCAGAACTCTTGCTGGATGCGCCAGAAAATGGAGGAACAGGCCATTTCCACCCCTTCCACACGCCCTCAGTTATCACCCCATAAGGAAGATCAATCACAAGTGGCAGCAAGGTCAAGGTGATCTTTTCGCCACCCAAGAAGGGAGATGTAAGGAGCAAGATGGGTTTGTTCTCTCGAGGGTGCCCTTTTCTGAATTCAAGTTGGTGCAGAAAGAAGCCTAGCAGAAAAAAAAAAACAGCTCAGGGGTCTGAATACCAACAACTCCAATGCTGGCTTGGAATTGAGGATTTCAAGCCCCGGCCGAGGGTAAATGGGAAAGTCCAAGCCAGCAAGGGAAGAAGCCAAGTTGGATTCGAAGAACTGCGCAGTCGGTGTCTCCTTCGGTCCAACGGGGTCCACCTGTTACTTCCAACGCGATGCGTTGGTTTTAGATTACATCAAGTGTTTTGATTTCTGGGCTTAAAAGGGAACAGGCATGTTCTGCATTTGTTGTTTCTCCCTCTTCGTGTTCAAGGGAATGGTCATGACTGGGAAATGGTTCAATATTTTCGCATGCAGCTTTTAGATGCAAATGGAAGTTGCCCCGACGAGGAGGCTTCGACGCGGAAGAGAGCAAACAGCAAACACCATGGCACCAACAGCGCAAAAGAGGTCTGTGAGGATGCTCCAGCTTAGAGATTGTTTGGCCTTGGGGTGGCTGAATGGCAGGGTTGCTAGCCACTTAGCGTCGACGTCGACCCGGACAAGTCAACCTGGCCTACTTTTCGGGGCGTGCACCCAAAGAAATCTGAAACTCGTCTTAAATGGGACACCCCTCATTGCGTCCTACAACCCAAGCCATCCCTTCTACCGGATTCATGACCACGTCGGTTCCCAGTTTCCATATCAAAATAGGGGCCCAAACACAGATGTTGGTGGCCTTTTGGTTCCTCTTACCAAGATAAAGAGAAGCAATACCCTTTAGCATCCCCACCCCGTTTCAAGAATGGACTTGGAGCACCGCCCCCTCCTCTCCGCGTAGGGATCCCACGACCGCTTGATATCCAGCCACGCAGGAGACCTTGGCGGAGATCAAGGAGCGCAAGGCCACCGTGGAGAAGCTGGCGGCGGAGCAGCAGGCGGAATCGATCCTAGTCAGTCAAGCCTCCAGAATCAGCTGGTAGTTGGGTGAAGGGATGCCGCTGCCAAAATGTGACTGATGGCATGGGAAACGTGGGGCCCAACTTGGACCTTTCAGGAGCCCAATTTGGTTGTGGAACCCTTTGTCCCTTTCTTTTTGGTGGCTGCCCCACTAAAAATTCGGTCTTCCCCAAAAAGGGTTCCCTTTTTTTCCAGGGTCACTGAACAACTGAGTAGTCAGTCAATCCTCTACATCAGCTGGCTGTGGGTCAAAAGTAGGGTAACCCCAAAATGGGTTGTCCCCTGGCAAATGGAACCAAGGACTCAAACCTGCGGTCCAATTCCTGGTGGTTTAATTTTGACCCATACCCAGCTGGTATTTGGCAGAAGGTTGTTTTTTGAGCTTTAGGTCGTCCCATGTTGGTCCGTGCCGTCCAGCAACCACCTGCTTCGCGAGGGAATCCGATTGTCTGAACTCAGTTGTGCAAAACCGACCTTTTTGACCTTTAGGTTTTCCCATTCTGGTCCATATTTTGTCAAGGTGCTTTGGGCAAGTGAGGAAACATACATGGTGCTTTGCAAGGGAACCTCCTAAATCAGCTGGTATTTGGGTGATGTTGTTTTTTGAACTTTAGGTTGTCCCATGTTGGTCCGTGCCGTCCAGCAACCACCTGCTTTGCGAGGGAATCCGATTGTCTGAACTCAGTTGTGCAAAACCGACCTTTCGACCGTTTGGTTTCCCCTTCTGGTCCATATTTTGTCAAAGTCCTTTGGGCAAGTGAGGAAAGATATATCTAGAACCAGTAGCTTTGCAGGGGAGGCTCCTAAAACAGCTGAGCGGAGAAACCCATTGCGCTTGGTTGCTCTTGACTTAGTGTTTGTTTGTTTTCCAAGAAGGCCGCAAAAGTGCCCGGAAAGCGTTGGTTTACAAGACTCTTAGTGGCAGCGGTATACCTGAGTCTATCTAGGTTTGCGATGTCAAAGATACTTCAGCACTGGGTCTGACGAGCTGCACAAGAACCCAGGTGTTAGAACCATTTAGAGTGACCCAAAATTCCATTTCTCATTTCTCCCCTGCCAGGCCAGCGCAGATCAGTGCAGCAAGGACAAGGCTGGCAGTTGCGTGGATCTCGTGTTCCGAAGTCGTGATTTGCCGGCGTGGCAAGGCAAGTCGGGAACAATCCTTTGGAATTTGGCAGGGTCTTGTGGCTGGATGTGGTTGGTCTTGCAAAACTGTGGATGGACAAACTCCTGCACCACCCAAGACACCATGGGAAACCATAACGTTTGTTGTTATTTACGTAGGGGAATCGACTCATTTTAGGGTTTCTGAACGGTGGTGCGAAACGGATTTCGCAACCATCCACACTATGTCTTTGGAATCTGGTCGGCGCCTTCCCGCGCCGCTCATGAGAGAGCCATGCCTCCGAGTCTGGGCAACCCCATGGGCCCCGCGTCGGCTCAACTTGTCCCAAAGGGTCAGGAGGTGTTTGAGTGTGTCTTAAAATACATGTACCCTCCCTCCAATCATGGAAGTTGACAGGAGAGCTTTGGAAGACTATTTTCCTTTTGGGGAACCCTCTTGTTCACTTCCATGATTGTTGGAAAGAGGGTAGCTAATGATGGTTGTCCCTCTCTCGTGTTCGAACCAACCAGCCGAGGGTACGCTCAAAAGAGACAAGCTGCAGAAGGGTTCTGACTTGATCGGCAGAGTGCCGCTCTTGAACCCGGGGTCTGGGGTCAAGGTCAAAAGGTTGCCAAAGCCAACTCCAAAGAGGTGTCGCCAAAAGTTTACAAACCCCTTTTTTGAGGGGCACGGCATGCTGTGCAGATAGCGTGTTGTCGAATGCCCAAAGAGGCAGTAGTTGTGAGCCTGTGGGAAAGAGATGTCACCTGAGGATTTTGCAAAAACAAAAAAAGAGCGGGGTTTCCCCAGAAAATAAAACACAAAAGAGTCAGGTTTTCGCACAAAGGTCACCCAAGCAAGAGGGGAGAGCGTTCACCCCAAACACGTCAATCGAGGGAGGTCTCAGGGAAGCCTTCATTGGTGTCCAACGGCAAAAAAGAAAGTGCAAAACAAAGCAAGAGAGGGGGCGGGCACATTCAGGCCTTCCCACCAAACCTGACTGAAAGCGGGAGCATTCTCCAAAGCGCTTTTTCCCGGAAAAGGTCGGGTCCCATAACCTGCCGCCTCGCTGCCTCGCTTCCGCCTCGCTTCCCGCGCGCGCCTCGCGCGAGCGAGCGAGGCCTCCTTCGAGTCTGCGGAGGCGGATTTGGCCTCCGCGGTGGTGGGCCTGGAGTCTGCCGTAGCCAAGGTGGGCGCCACCCAGGCCACGGCGAGGGATCGGATGGCGGGGGGGGGGGAGGGGGAGGGGAGGAGGAGGGAGGGGGGAGGGAGGGGGCAGGGGAGTTTATTTTTTCTTTTTTTGTCTGAGTTGCTTCTTCCCTTAGAAAGTTTCCTATTGACTGTTTTGAATGGTTTCCTAATAGTGGCGAAGTGTGGCGAACTGATTTGTTCAAAGATGTGCTTCCCGCAGCAATCTACTTGTTTTAAACGGGATATTGTTCAATGAGGGTTCTCCCTCGTTGTCTACTCGAGTGGTTTGCCTGGAAGCACTGGCATGCCCAGCTTACCCGGTCTGGGCAACAGAAATCGAGGCGACCGTGGAAGTGTTGTTTCGGCAAAGGATGTGTGTTGTGTGCTTCGTCTAGTCTGTAGTGTGCTCTCCACTTTTCGCAGGAGTCGGCGATTAAAAGCGATCGACCTAGGTTTGGTTTAACTTACCGACCTTGGGGGATGTTGATGTTTGTAAGGAGTCACTTATTGTCAGGTTGGCAAGGGTCTGTCATCCAGGGGTGATGTTTGACTTTTCCTTGATGGAGAGCGAAGGCCGAACGCTCGGCTTCAGTAGCCAGAAGCCAGGTGCCCTCAACGTGACCAATGGGCATGAAGGCTGATATGTAGGGATTTGAACACCCAAATAGTGGTGTTCCCCTTGGTTGCTCTTCAAGCGTCCTCAAAGAAGAAGTAAAATGGCTGCGGCCGTGCAGCTTGTTTATCCGTCAGGCAAATGTCAGCGGGTCTTGACGGCACCTGAAAGGCAAACAAGAGCTTACTCATGGGTGAGGCTTTTGTGATGGGCAAGGTGTTCCTGCAACCCTCCCTTCATCCCAGGCAAGCAACACAGCGCGAAACAGCACAACATGCCCATAGGAAAGAAAGAAAGAAAGAAAGAAGGAAAGAAGGAAAGAAGGAAAGAAGGAAAGAAGGAAAGAAGGAAAGAAGGAAAGAAGGAAAGAAGGAAAGAAGGAAAGAAGGAAAGATGGAAAGAAGGAAAGAAGGCAAGAAGGAAAGAAGGAAAGAAGGAAAGAAGGAAAGAAGGAAAGAAGGAAAGAAGGAAAGAAAGAAAGAAAGAAAGAAAGAAAGAAAGAAAGAAAGAAAGAAAGAAAGAAAGAAAGAAAGAACGAACGAAAGAAAGAAAGAAAGAAAGAAAGACGGCAACCCACGCAAATAATTACACAATCCAAGGGAACAATAGAAAACAAACCAACACAAGTCAACGAAGCGCAAACCAACACAACACCATAAATCAGCACAAAGCAAAGTAAGTTTACATAAACCAATATCATAAGCAAGCAAAGAGGAAGCTGACCATCCAAGAGACCGCCCGGACAAGCGACCGGCAGGGGGTCTCGTTGCTGCAGAGTGCCCCTGGCCTGCAGCGCATCCTGGCGCTGGGGGCGGCCATGGGCTTCGTGTCGCAGGCGGGTGAAACGCCTTCGGAATTCGCGCGGGGAGTTGCCCTCGGAGTGGTGGCATCATGAGCTTTTCTAGAGCTTACATGAGTGGGCTGCCGGGGGGGGGGGTGAGACAGGGGGCGGGGGTCCTGTGGACCACCGTTTAGAGTCTTGATGATGTCAACGTAGTGATTTGTCTATCCCCCGGATGAAGACAGTGGGTAATATTGGGGTCCCCAAAATAGTCGTGACTGTTGTTTTGGTTTCCCCCCTGAAAAAGCTCAGATTGGCAAGGGTGCCTACAGGGATCCATTGAGTCCTATATGGCTGTGGCCCAAATAAATGTACCGAAATGGAACCTTGGTAAACGGAACCAAAGACTAACACCTGCATAACCCTAGCTGCTTAATTGTGAGACGTGCACGTATTGATTCAGAGCCATAGCAAGAGGAGCCACTTCCCCGGGCTAGTCACTAGGCTGTCGTAGCTGCTGCCCTTGCCCAGGAGAAGACTTCGGGCTTGGCCCTTCTTCAGGAGCCCTGGCTGGAAGAGAAGGGCGCCGAGTACAACAAGAAGGCGCTCGCTCGCCTTTCTCGTTCTGCTTTTGCTGGTCGTGTTTTCGCGGTTGTCACATGGGGGTCGCTGTTTTATCCAGGGCTGGGTGCTGCTGACATTCCAGAAGGGGCCGCCTTTGCATGGGGTAGCTGGGTTCTTTTGCAAAGGCCAGCTGCAAGCTCGATTGGGGTGTCTATTTTCTGTCCATGATGTTGCTCCAGTAAAACTCACTCAGCGCTGAAACATGCTTAAACCAACCAGGGGTGCTCCAAGCAGGCTGGCTCGCCCGACCAGGCTCTTGAAGAAAAACCCTGCCAACTGCCTGTAGCGTGTTGAAGCCTATCTAGGGCTCAACCTCACATCACCACACCCTTCAAGAACAACCCACGGGGATCCACTGAACAAACTTAAGCACAGGCAAACAAGTCGTTCACCTCAGGCCACTCAATTCATCAGCGAAACCTGTGGAGACACTTGTTTGTTGCTTGGACCTACCTTCTAGCCCCTCCGAAAGTAGTGGGAGTACAAGGCCTTCCCGAACCTGGCCCCAAGGCCTTCCCGAATTGGCTAAGACCCCATGGCCGCTTTTGGCTTTGGGGAAACACACGCCATGTCCGAGATGCTTTCCACGGGGCATTATACCCTTCATGTTGTGGCTGAGTGGTTGCATCCCCTTTTTATTAAGCTCCAGGGGTAATGAGGAGGTCTTAAATCCCTCTTTACTTCAGACAAAGAACCATCCTCAGCAGGTAGCACGTGACTCAGTTAGTATGTAGACTGTAGACCTCTGTTCTTGAAATGGTTTTTCTTGCTAGTTCGGTTTGTTGCCAATTGAAGGGGCTGCAAAAAACAATGGTCTTTGACTACATAATTACTGTCGAAGCCCTACATATCACAAGCAATGTAACAAGGCCACCCTCGATATGTTCGCGCTGTACCCTCGTTTTGTTTTTGTTTGTGGTTGTCTGTGCGGTTGGTTTACTTGCACCGTGATTTAGCAGGGTTTTGTAGTTAGTCGTGTTGGATATTTAATTGGCATCCACCCAAGGCTTTCGCGGATAGCCGCAGGACTATGCTTTTCAGTCCGCTGGGGTGCTGGACACGCTGCAGGGCCTCTTGAAGCAGTTCCGCGAGGAGCGAACACAGCCGCCGGGGGGGGGGGGGGAATTCCAACTGCAGTTGTTGTTTCCCCGGTTTTGTGTTATGGCTGTTTGCCACTCTATGTTAGTTGTCGCAACAACCAAACGAATGGGGACCTCCGGTAGTCTAAATCCATGGAGCCATTTGGCTGCCGTTAAAGTTTCACCCAAAGTTTGTTTGCTGTTGTTGGTTTCGCCTTTGTTTCTCGGTTGTTTGTTTTCCGGTGTTTTTGATTTTGGTGGCTGGTTTCTTCATGTATGTCCAGGCGGGTGTCCATTTGCCAACCGTTTGTCCAACCATTTCCATTGGCTCAACTGAGTCCACTGATGTGTGTGTGTGTGCGTGCGTGCGTGCGTGCGTGCGTTCGTCCGTTCGTTCGTTCGTGCGTTCGATGCTGTTCTACTAGTGTTGTTGAGGGTTGCTCGTCTTTAAACAATACTCACCATTGGTTCTAAGCGTGTTCTTTCATGGTGCTAATGTTGTTGCACCAATTGAAGCAAAGCTTACCTGGGGCTGGACTAGCTTGGGCAAATCTGAGAAAGGATCCTTACTGGAGGATTCTCGAATTGATTTGATGGTGTTTGATGAGTCAGTGCAGAGGTTTTTGTTGGTAGGCTTTTCATTGTTGATAGCTCCTTGTTGTGGTGAGTTGTTTATTAACCATCGTAGCGTTTCTTCTTGTGGTAGGATGTTGACCTTCATTCAACAATGTACCGGGTTCTCTTGTAGGTATGGTGTCGTTTTGTTTGGGTAGCTTTTCTTTTGGCTGGTGTTTGTTTGAACAACAAACGTGCTTCCTTTGTGGGTATTTGTTTCTGTCATTCTAGTCTTTCCCTATGTGGGGCGCTCTGGTGTTTGTGGGGTAGGTTTCTTGGCATTCGGGGAGCTTTTGAATGGATCATATTATATCAGCTTCTGCTACTGTTAGGGCCTCAGGAATCAGATAGGTTGTGGGCTATGAAAAAAAATATATGTTAAAACAAAAAAGAAGCTCAAATGACGGACGGCATGATCAAATAACTATAATCTTTGCATGTTTTCCGCGTCTCTTGGGTTTCCCCCCTCAACATGGAACCCGGCAGGCCCCCTGCGTTCAGATGGGTTTGCAATTTTCAGGAGCGGTCCAAGGGCCAGGAGGAGTGGAAGAAGACGCCGCTCACCCGGGATAGGGCCGTTTAGAGGTAGGCGGCAGTGGGTAAGGGGAGAGTGCTTGGTTGGGTCTGTCCGAAAATGGGGGGAGGTGCCTTGGTTTTAGGGGACCCCCAAAATTGTGGTGTTCCTTTCGGGAACCCCCAAGCTTGCCTTCTCGAGCTGGCCTGAGTTTGCCTCAGTTTCAGAGACCTCCAGAGACCAACCCAAAGGAGGGGCTCAGGCCGTAAAGCTAAGTGATGCCTATGGCCGAGGGTGAGGGGGGGGCGGGGCTTTGGCTCCAGGTTACCCCGGAGCCACCGCTTCCAAGGAAGGAGGCCTGCGCCAACTTCGCGGCCGCGCGCGCCGCGGATTTGGAGCAGACCGCCGCGGCCATCTCCTCAGCAGAGACCAATGCGGCGGCGCTGAAGGGCACGGGGCCCCAGGCAGCCATTTAGGTCTGGAAGTTAAGAGGCTGGCAATTGCCCATAGAACCATGTTCCAAAGGTCCTTGACCCCAATCTCAATACAGGGCTCAAGTATTGCATGACCTGGGTCGCAGGTATTCAATGGAGCCGAGTCAAAACCGCAAGAGACGTATGCATGAGACAGTGCTTAAACAGCAACTCTATGGATTCCTTCGAAAGGACGCCAACAAGTAGAACAAGCACAGAAAGGGAGTGTAGTTCAAAAAACCTCTTTCAGGGGTCCTTTGAATTTTCCACAAGGGGATTGTCAATTGACCCGTGGGCGCAAGCTGAAAGGGTTGGTCAATGTTGGTCAAAGTAGGTTTTGGATTTTACCGGTTGGCGCTAGAATTCGGCCAGGGTCTTACTAGGGTGCCGGGCCCGGTCCGGACTGCGAAGAACGAGGATTCAATCCAAGCGCGGGGTTGTGGTGATTTAATCGTGGCCGAACCAGCCAGGCCAGCCGTACATGGCGGCTTTCGATTTGGGATTTGAACCCCCTTTTGGAACCTTACAGAAGGTACAGTACTGTACAACCTACTGTCCAAAACCACCAAGCCAAACAACCAGCTAGGGTAAAGGTGGACCTTGGCGGAAACTGCCCAAGCGGCAGTTTCGGTGGCTGCGTCCCTTCACCCGCTGAGGCGAGACCGCGGACAAGAAGCAGCTGCTTCTGGAGACGGCTCGAGCTTGGTTGATTAGTTTGTTGAAATAACCATACCCTAGCAGGGCTCCTTAGAAGATACATTTTGCCCAACACCAAAATAAAGGGACACCACCATTTACAAGGCAATGTTCAGGCGTATAATGTAAGGATCCCTGCTTGGTTGAATAGTTTCTTGGAATAGCATACCCTAGCCCCCCCTTTCAAAGGGAGCTGAGGAGCTTTGAAAGATCGGTAGATCTTTGAACATGTGCGAGCAGGTTGGCCTAGGCCTGTCAGAGTCAGGTGTTTCAGGAAAAAACGAGTTGCTTCCAGACGAAAGGGGCGAGTCGGATCAGTTAGGCTCTCTGAATGGACCTGTCATAGACTACTCTGAAGATCAACAGCAGGAAGCCAAGAAATGGTCTTCTCCTTTTGGAAACGGCTGTTTGGGGAACCCGCGTTTGGGTTACATGTTGGGAACCCTGTCCATGTTTAGGAGGAACCTCATTTTGAGGGAATATTTTTTGAAATCGTTTGTGTTCCATGTGCATTACCTCAGCTTGGGGGACACCCAAGGACCGCCGACTCTGCAATTTCCTTTTGGGCATCTCAGCTCTGCACTTTGGGGTTGTGTGCAGGGTTTTCGGTTTGTTCCCCTTGTTCCATGGTCTCTGGAAGTGCCGGCAGCAAAGGATGGAATATTTTGTTCCATTTCAATCTAAACACAAGCTGTGGCTATCGCCAAATTATTAGCCACTCTCACACTCGGCTGCAGGCGAGTCCCAACACACTTAGATGCGTTTTGTGTTACTCGTGTGGGTCTACCATGGGTTAGACCGGTAGACCCCTCGTATACCAGTTTCGATTGTGAGTTACATGTGTTGCCTCGTTGTTCGATGCCTTCCCCCTTCGGAACATACAGGGACCAGGTATCTCAAGAAGTGTATAAACCCTCTTGGAGGGCCCAACCTGAATTTTCTGAAAGGGATCAGTCAACAGTTGCATCCCAGGTGCAGTTGCATCGTGGCGCCATATGAACCGTTACCATGGATTTTGAATAGACACCGACGTACAGAATCCTGCGCCCCGTGTTGATCCTGGGTGAGGTGCCAAGAAGATGCACCCATGGAGAGCCACCGGCGGTCGCAGATTGGGAGGTTGATCAAAGGGTCCTTTACATGGGATGACCATTTACCCATGGTCATTTGGGTGGCAGGAATATGGATCAACCCCCACTTGGCCGATTTCAATGGATGCCCCTGAGGAGACGAAGAGCACCTTGAAGGACGACAAGGGCTACTTGTCCGAGCTGACCACCGCGTGCGAGGCGGGATCAGCGGGGCAAGAGAGGGTGAGGCGGGCTGGGTAGGCGTCCGTCGTCCCTTTTGGGGGTTGAGTCTGACTGTTTGGGGATTCCAACCAAGGTTGGCGTCGTGGTTTCTGTCTATGTTATAGCGAGCTCACCTGGGGTATAGCGAGCTCACCATGATAATAAAGGTCCTTTACTTGGGGATCCCTCAATTCAGCTTTTCGGATTATAGTAAACTTTGCAGGTGGTTTCACGCAACCTGCAAGGGTTGGCTTTCCAGGAACATGGTCGCTGGAAATTCGTTGCCCTCACAGCCCATCTCCATTGCACGAGGTTGCACTCTCCACCTGCCCTCGGGACAGGTGCCATGTCAGGAGCAAGCGAAGCAAGTGTTGAACCTGGCGGGGGAGTCGTTTTCGAAGGCAATTATTTTCCACGGCCCAGTTGTTCAGTGGCACCCTCTTTGTTTCCATGTTGCTTCGTCTGTTCTACTTTCTACCGTTCGGGTGACTGGGCAACTGGGAGTAGGTTGCTGGCAAGCATGGATACCAAAGACAGCCAAAAGACGGGGATTTGTGGGGAGCAGTGTCGAGAACCGTTCACGATTTGTTGTGGAGCTGTTTGGGCTACCAAACGCCCCCCCCCCCCCCCCATCAACATTGCATCAGCGAAGCCCATGACCTCACGGCAACGACATGAGGTGCATTCAACCCCCGTTTTGGAGTTGTTCAAAGGAACTGACATGAACACCATCAATTTAAAGGGGGGTTCTTCTGTTATGAAGCACCTATTTGTGTCGAAGTGTTTCGGAGGATGTTTCGAATTCCTATTTTCAATAGGCTTTTGGAGCATGGATTGGTTACAGTGTAGTTGCACCGTTGTTCATTTTCTGGTTTTGTTTAGTGGGTTTCTCGCCAAAAACAGTCAGCACCCAAATTGGGTTTTCTCTTTTGATGGGTCACTGGACAACCAATTCAAAACAATATGGGTGTGTTTTTGTTCAGTTTGTTTCTTCTTTTCAACGCAACATGGTGCTTGTTTTTGTGGTTTCCCTGTCAAACCACAAAAAAGGTACCCTGAAAAATAGACACACCCATACTGTGGATGGACGAAGTCCTGCACCACTTTGACACCATGAGAGACCATTGTTCGTTGCTATGTACAGGGGAGTCATCATTCCAGGGTTTCTTAGGTGGTGCGAAACGGATGTCGTCTATCCAACTACCTCAGGCGCGGAAGAAGGACTTCGAGCAGCGCTCCAAGATGCGAGCGGGCGAGCAGGAGGCGAGTCAATGCCAGACTTTTGTCGCCTTTTTTTGAAACCTTTTACTCTTATGGTTTCCATGATTTTCCCTCCTCAACCAGCAATTTCCCCTCTTCAGGCGAAAAGTGTTGCCTTTTCGCGGGGTCCCGGCCGGTCCTTTCGCAAGGCTTTGGGTGCCGCCATCACCGCCCTCAAGGCGCGGTTTCCCAATCGGTGGCTGGATGTCGGTCGGTCGGTTCTTTGGGGTTCATTGGTTGAGGGCGATCAATAGCTCAAAAGGATAGTTGTTTAATTGGTCCAGACCCCCTACAAAAGGCCCCCAGTTTGCTCTTTGCTTTTGAACTTTCCAAACTAAATGGAAAAGGTGAAGACTTCTAGGGGCGGGGATAGAACCAACTCAGTTTTTGTCGTAGCCTCTTGGCAACCGAGTGTGTCCTTCGGCACCGTTGAGCAGCGGTTGGGAGAGCCAACCCACTTTTTCGATCACACCACCCCTACAATCGCTCTTGGTTTGGTCGCTGTTTCACAAGACTGATCCCCGAGCTTGCACCAGGGTCACTGGGCATGGGGAGTTGAAAGTCTGATATGTGCGGTCACTTGATACCCTTTGGCTTGGTTGGGATGGTCACCTCTTTTGCACTTTTTGTTTCAACCGTGATTCAACCACGGATCTTGTCCAACCCATCCCACTCAATGAGAAACTCCCGATTTGTATCATCCCGGCCCCTTTATTTCAGCCGGGGTCCTGTCGGCCCACGGGCAGTCCCTACGAACAACGCCACCGGAGACAAGCCTACTTGGGTGTTCATCCAAGTTAGTAAGTTGTTGGTAACCTAGGTCATAACGGGGGGTATACCCCAAGTGGCGAACCACTAAGTTGGCCGCATCCAAGTACTCTTTGTAGGAGAAGGCGCAGAGCCCTGTCTCCTTCTTGCAGCTGGGCCAGCGCTCTACTGCCCGCGTCCGCGAAGTGGCCAGTGCTGCGCGCCAGACGGCAGCGGCCAGCCAGGCGTGCGGCGGTTCAGGGACGGTTGGGCATAGCCTGCGACGGCCGTTTGGTGGCTAAATAGGCAACGGGATACCAGGGGGAAGTGTATGTGCCTCAAAATGGGGATTCAAGCCCCGAACGGGGTTTCGGGTTTCCTTTTGCTGTCCCTTTCAGTTTGCCTGAAAAGGGCCTCAACCAAACAAAAAGCACGCACCCATGTGCGAAGGGCATCTCACGCGTGGCATGGGTTCTATTAGTTGGGGTCGTTTGGAGTTGGTACCCAGATTACATGGGAACAGTGTCCCTTTTAGGTTGGTTGAACATGGATCGCACTGGTTTGAGCTTGGACAGGGGGTCTGATATGTCCCTTTCTGGGTCAGACACTAGCCGTTTAAAGGGAGATCAAGGGAGTATCTAGTCCACCACCCTGCCTGGTTTGTCACCAGCCGTACTTCCCCGATTTCAGATGCCAACAACCAAAGCCAACCTGATCGACGCCAAGCTTGATCGATTTTTGCGGCTGGAACCAAGCGAACAATTCGAGCTCAGACCGTGGGCTTTGAACCAGGCGAGTGTTGGATGCTTTGTGGTTGCGATGTTCGTGCGGAGAAGTCGAGGGCCGATCCGAACCCCAGCGCAGATTTAACAGAGAAAATGCCGCGCGGAGGTTTCCGAGCCGAAATTCTGCCAAGGCCCTTGGAGAACTTCCGAGCGAGTGAAGACACTAGGATCCAAAGGACTCGAAAGACGACTCCAGGCTGTTTCACCGGGCTCTTGCCTTGACAGTCTCGGGATTTGTTTTGTTTGTTTGCACCCCTTTCTGCTTGTGTTTTATTTTCCTGGAAATCGCCGGTTATTAATGTATGTTTAAAACAAAAACGAGAAATAACCCAACTGCTTCATTGGCTGTTAGAACTCCTTGGGGCCGCTTATGGCACCTTTGGCCTCAGGCCGCCGATCTCTCGGCGCCGCTGCGGCGCGCGGCGGCGGCCTTGCTGGCCGAGAAGGCGGCAGCTCGGCTTTGAGGTGGCGGAGCTTTTCCATCGGCGCAATCAGTAGGTCCCCCAGTAGTGCCCTTTTGCCCTTTGTTGGGGGAGGGCTCCCCTGCTAAAAATAGACCAAAGTAGACTAAGTGAATTGCTGAACTTTGTGGTTGCTTCAAATGGCTGTGGGTCAACAGTAGTGGGATTTCATTTTGGGGTAGGTGAATTCACCACCCATTTGAGAACCGATTTTAGTGGGCATTGGGATGTGCACTGGGGGTACGATTTGGATTTTGACCCATGGCCATTTGAGCCACAATCAAGCCCCGGGTAGATCAGCAGGGGACAATCCCAACCATGAATAGCAGCGCTGCGGCCGCCTTCTTAATTCTTTACATGGCTCTGGGTCGACCAGTCCAATACCAGGTTTTGATATGACTCAGGTGGCTACAGACGCCAAAACTTCATAGGCATGATCTGTTTCCATGTGAAGTGCCCAGAAGCCAAACCTCGCTGTGTTCGACCAAGTTAGTAGTTTGTAACCAAAGTTACAACCCAGTAAGTCCCCCCAAGTGGAGTCAACCCCCATGAGTTGGTTACTTCCATTTGCTAAATGAATATGTTGTTATGTTCCCCTGGAGCCAAAAGGAGGATTAGTAAGGGATAGTGAGGGATAATTCCAACCAAAAAAGGTGCCGCCTTTTTCACTGTTTACATGGTTCTGGGTAGGCCATTTATTACCAGGTTTTGATTATGACTCATTTGCGGTAACTTGGCAGTTTGCGAATCGTCCGGTTCCTTAGGTACTTTTAGGTTTTCGGGTTTCCATTTAACCCACGAGTTCAACTTTTCGCAGGGGATCTGAGGGCAGCGTAGGGAAAAAATATATTGCCCCTGTTGGAAGGGCATCTATCACTACAGAAAATATGTTTCTGTTCTTTGAGGCGACTTGAGAAAAATAGATGTCATGTGGGTCAACCCACTTAATTAGCACCAGGTTCTGTGACGAAGCTGACTTCCATGTTGTTTGGTTGGAGCAGAAAACCGGGTCTGGAATTGGGCGTCTTAAAGATGTGTGTGTGTGTGATGGTTGTTGTTGGGAAACATGTTACATTTTTGCTTATTGTGGTTTAGTGGGATTTCCCACTTAGCTGCCAAAATTTAAATTTGTGCTCCCATTCCAACGTCAACCAAGGTATGTGTTGCAATTCACGTAGTCAGTTAATAGTATGGCTATACGGGCAGCAACCCCCGTTCCCCCGCTTAACAATGGGACCCAGGCCCCCGGTTGATGAAGGGAAGTACGTTGAAGTCCCATGGTTGTCAAGGGCTCATACGGGCCCCCAATGGGGGCTAGTAGCGACTAGTCCGGCCCATGAAGACAAATAGGGTTCGCCGTTTTTTCCGGAGTCCTTTCTTTGCGGGGATCCCGTTATGACAAAATAGATAATTAAGTTATATATATATATATACACAACCATAAAATGGCACTGACCCCAGTTACCCCAGTCATAACCATGCTTATAACCTACCTGACGTTGGCTGAGCATCCAAGGACCCGTGTTTCACCGAACTGACCCCTGGCTTCGGTCTTCGAGAAGCGTAACCAAGGAGCGTTTAGGCAGCCGCCGCCTGCAGGGTCTGGCGCAGCGCATGGAGCGAGCAGATGTGGACACAAACCCATTTCAGGTTGTGAAGGACCGGGGGGACTCGCGTGGTGGTTGGAAGGGAGCTAATGAGTTGGGGGGATCCAAATTTGCTTTTAAACAGGGAGCTATGAGCTCCCAGGAGTTCTAGCACCCCCCCCAAAAAAAAATGGTTGGTTTCCTTTTTGTTTTCCCTTGGACCCTCGAACAAGACACACCCAACAGATGCAAAACCCGCAACTTGGATGTTCAACCAAGGTCAGGGAAGTAGGTTATGGTTATAACTGGTGTAATTGGGTTTATCGTCCCCTTATAACCATTGCTTACTACGTTGACTAAGCATCCAAGAAGCAACTTACCCCTTCGGGCTACCCGCCTTTTTTGAGGCTGCGATTGGCCTGACTCAAGTGACCTAATTGGCGCAAGGGCGTAAAGCAACAAAAACATGCTAGCAAAGCAACCAGGCGAAGTAACTACCCAACTACCAAGCTACCTAATCACCTTTCTACTTGACTGCTTAGGTGCTTAGCTGCAGCTGCTAGCTCTACCTGAGGCACAGAAGCAGAACATGATTCCTTCAGCTGAAGTAAATGGGCATGTGCTTTAATCTTCTGAACAAACAGGCGCACAATACATGCATATGTGTAATCATGTTCACAAGTCACATGACAAAATCCTTGGCAAGGGCAGACAATGTGTTGTTGAGGCCGAACAATGACGGGTCACAGGCTAAGGTAGGTTTTGGTGAGTGCACCACCCAATGTTGATGGACCAAATCCTGCATCCACAGTCTGTTTATGGTGGGGTCATTGAATGGGGGTACGCCTAAAGTGGGTGGCTTCCTTTTGTTTTCCCAACCTCTGCTGAGGTGGCAGGACCCCCGCCCTTTTAGCATATACTAGGGCCTAGATAAGTAGAGTCTTGTTGTGGGTTGCTTAGAAGCCATATGGGTGTGGCTCAAATTTATCCAGCTGAGGCTACGCGGGTGTTAGTCTTTCCATGTACCGTGCCCAAAATGGCACATGTTTTCTTTGGTGCATTTTGCTTGGCTGTTAGGACTTCAACTTTTCTTTGCCAACTAATGGGTTTTCAGCTACACCTCTAAGAGTTAAGCTTTTAGCAGGGGAGCAGATTTCGCAACCGAGTTTTTGAGCAACCGCCATGTGTCGCCCCTTGGCTTCCGGCAGGACATGGTGCAAGGCATGGTGAACCAGCTGCTCGCTGAGGCGGCCAGCCAGGCCGAGCTCCCAGCTTCGGAGTCGGGAGTCGGGAGTCGGGAGTCGGGAGTCGGAAGATGGCTTAAAGGAGTTGGGCGTGTCGTTCGTTTTGAGGGCACCCCTGGTGTTGTCGTTTTGAAAGGGAAACCCAAAGGGATCCACGACTCTGTGTTCTTTTCTTCTTCTGCTTCTTCTTCGTTTTTTTTTTGGGGGGGGCCTAAACCCCGATACACCATTTCGAGTGAACTCAGGAAACATGGTACTTTTCATGGTTGACTAGATGTGTACTAAACTTGGTGCCAAACTTGGGAACCTGCCAATTACACAGGACATACTAGCTTAGACTTTCTGGCTGGCTAAGCAACCCAGGCGTGCCTTAGACTTGGGTTCAGACCGGAGACCCTGAAGAAACGACACCGAAAAACCGGCGCACCCTCAGAGTTGTTGTGCTTTTTCGAAAGGACCAAGCTTTCGTGGCAAACAATCAACATGTCACAATGTTTGCTTTGTTTGGCTCAACTTAGGAAGCGCGATACTTCAGAGCCATGAGAGCCACAGCAACCCGAGTGACTATCGGTGACCATTCAGTGGGCCTTAAGGACAGTTCAGGGTCACGAACCCCCAACCCCCGATGGCTCCCCTTGCCATGACTCTTGGTCAGCATTGGATTCAATGCGAACAAAGTTTGTTCCCCCAGTTGGTCAGGCTCCCTGAACCCCTTTTGTTTGCCAAGGTTTCTCGCCTTTGACAGATGACCAAGGTAGCTATGCCTGGTTTCCTGTGGTTTGCTTTCGGGGGCCAAATTTGTTTGTTCCGAGACACACACACACACACACACACCCAGAGACACACCCAGAGACACACCCACAGACAGACAGACAGACAGACAGACACACACACACAGACACACACACACACAGACACACGCGCCCACACACACACACACACAGACACACGGACAGACACACACAGACGGACACAGACAGAGACAGACAGACATTTTTCAGTTTATGAGTCGCTTGGAAGTTTGGATTGCCGATCCTCTTTCTTTCCAAGTACCAACAAATCCCAAGGGCCTTCTAAGGAGATATGAAAATCCGGGAGCAGTACCAAGGGACCCTCCGTGCTGGTTTTGTCACCTTTGGCTCAAACCTCTTGGGAGCCCCCAGTGAGTGAATCCTCAAGGACGAAACAGAATCCTATGAAACCTGCAGCTGGGTGGAGCAATTTGATTAAAGAACTTACCTCCTGAGTTCCTGCACTTCATACTGTTTGAGAAAACCATTTAGTAGTAGGTCTACAAAATAAGTTCCAGCACTGTTTTGCCCAATCCACTCACCGGTTTTTCACGTGGCTTTATGTCCGGGTCATGAACCATGATGACATAGCGGCAGGCATAGCATGAAGACACATGCCAAGCATGTTGGGCGTTTCCCCTTTCGGAGGAACAAATCGAAAACTCAGGGACGGCACCGTAGAATGATATTTATTTATATATTTATATATCGTTTATTTATGTGCTTATTAATTGACTTATGCATTTGTTCATTTATGTATTTATTTATTTGTTTATTCATTTATTTGTGTATTTATGTATTTATGTGTTTATTTATTGATTGATTTATTTATTTTTGGACATATGCAACATATTCTAGTCTCCTATTGAAATACCAATCAAATGTAGCTACCGATTTCGGGTAGCCTAAGGGGCGAGATATTACTAGTATTCTCGCGCTCCCATGTTTATGACTGATGTTAGTTTTAACGTAATCCGGGAACCCTTTCTACTTGTCTAGTCCCTTATGTTATGTCCATTTGGGGTAGAAACCCTACATGCCCTTGTCACTTCTGACTTTCGGGTATGTTCCAGTTGAGTCTGTCTTCGTTTGAGGCTACGCTTTTCTCGTTGTTCTTAAAGGGAAATCAATTGAAGACACAAGTCTCTCGCTCTCTTCTTTTGGGAAATCAATTGAAGACACAAGTCTCTCTCTCTTCATTTTGTTTTGGGAGGGGGAATCCCCAAGAAAAGAGAGACGCCCATTTGGGTATGGGTCAAAATGAAACCACCAGGCGACCGCAGGTTTTAGTCCTTCTTGCCATTTAACAGGGCAAGCCATTTGTGGTACCTATTTTTGTGGTACCTATTGTTTTTTGGTGTTTTTTTGGTTTTCGTCCATTTGTGGTACCTGTTCTTGAGCCACGGCCATTTGATGCAGGTGACTCAGAAGAGCTTCTGCGACGCCGCGCTGGGCAAGGCCACCAAGGAGAGGGACCGCCGCCTGCGGGAGGCGAAGAAGCTGCGCCCTGGACGTGAGCATTTCGTTTCGCCTGAGCACCGGGGGTGCCCTCCCTGGGTTCGTAATGCTGACCCCTCACGAATAACCCCCTCACGAGCCGGGTAAAGTGGAGCAAAAAGAGGTCGTTTGAATGGGAGGCTCCTTACAAGATACAATTTTTGCCACCGTTTGAAGCATGTTTTCTCTTTTTCAGCAGCAACATAGAGGGAAACAAAACCATTTACATGTTGCAATGTTCAGGTGTATAATGTATGGATCCCTGTTTAAGGATCAGGATCCCTTCTTAGTGTGGAATCCCTGGGGGCTGGTGGTATTCAGGGTCCCTTTTTGAGTGTGGAATCCCTTCCGGGCGGGGGGGGGGCATTAATCAGGGGTCCGCATGAAGTGTGTTTTTTTGAGGGCGGGACTGGCTTGAAGTAAAACGAAGCAAACCCCACCTGTTTTCTTGGAAGGGGGCGGTCCCCGAAAAAAGAAGCAACAGGTGTCCTTTCGGCTCCCTTCATTTTTGCCAACCAAAACGGGGTCCGCCACGGGAACAAGGGGAATCGCTTTTTTTTGGTACAGCATCCACATGGGGTCCAGGGATCCGTGGGTAATGTAAGTGTGGCTGTGTGGTGTCTCGTCACAATTCGTGACAAAGCTTTATGTATAGTATCGGTGTTTCTCAAAAAAGGTGTCGGTCGCTTTCCTAAACCGATTGGTGGTTTGTTCGATTTTTATTCAAATACAAACCAACCAAAGTGGGGTCCGCCATTCGGAGGACCCCCTCCTAACAAACTGATTTAAACCAGAGGACTAGGTCAAAGGCGTTATTGACACAATGGTGGCTTAAACACGTGCAAAGGCAAGCTCTGGTTTAAGCATGTGTATGCTATGCAAATTGAAGCAGTGTAACCTCTAGCATTGCCCCTTTGAACATAGGCAGGGTCCCTTTGAGCCATCCAGCCATTCGGTGTTTGGGTTGGACCCGGTAACTAGAAAATCAAAAAGCAGGTCGGTCACAAGTGTTCTCTAATTTTCTGTTGAGCCCCGGTGGTTACCCTTTGAACCACCATGAGCTTCCATTTGCTTAATATGTTTTACTCTCCCTAATTGGTTTTAAAGGGAATATTTTACTATTGCATTGTGGTTCTTCCAGGGGGCTTAAGCAAATGCAGGCGAGGGTAGTTTGGAAGATGTCACTTGAAGCTCAGTTTTGGGCTTCTCACATGGCCAGTCGGGGTTTTGGGCGCTGCTTTGTTCTGGCTTGCCCTTTAAACAGGCTTGGGCTCTTCCGCCCCTGGCTTAAACATTTGTTAACATGATGCCTTTGGTTTCACTTCGAACGGGACCAGCTCGTTGGAAGACATTGGCACAACCCTGCAACAAACTCAGTCTTTCTGGGTATTGTGTAATTGCGCAGTACTTGTATGGTCTGGGGGCTTAGCGTGTTGTGCAAGAATCCGTTTGAGGGGAATGGCGTTGTGCTCATAGCACGGCCAGTAAATACATCCTTGATTGATGGCTTCTTTATGGTGCAGCTAATTCAGAGGAGACCGGCATCAACTTGGTGCTAACAGCAGGTGTTAAGCAAATCCTAAATCCTAGTTTAACATTCAGAGTTTAAGCAACTTCTAGGTTTGAAGCACATGGCTTTAACGAACAAAAAACATCCAGCAATAGTTTCCCTTAGATCAGCTTTCTCCCTTCAGGGTGCCAACTGGAGCAAATGAACAGCTGGTGACCATGGTTGTTTCCATTTATACCGCGCATCAAAGCAACCACAAAGAGCACGGTCGAGATGTCCAAGCACGAGCCCCCGAAGCCACTGAGTTCCATTCACGCCCAGTAGTAAGGGTTTGCGGGCAATGGCCCCAACCATGCTTGTGCGGCGGCCAATAAACCATCCTTTGCATTTTTTGATGGTTTGCGGAGGTCTCACCACCTTGTGACTGTTTCATGGTTGTTGTTGGGACACATTTTACATTTTTGCTTATTGTGGTTTAGTGGTTGAAATCCAACCACTTAACTGCTAAAATTTATTTTTTTGCTCCCCAAACCCAACGTCAACCAAGTTTTGGTGCCAGGGTGTTCCCCCTCAAAGGTCATAAAGTAAAGTACCATGAAAGGTTCCCCAAACTCCATGCCCACCTGAAAAGTTGTTGAGGGAACAATATACATGGCCCTATCCGGGTTTGTCGCAAGATAGGCCATGATAGGCCCATTAGTTCATTAATTCCTTGTATGCCATCCCCAAAATTGGGCTTGCCATAGGGGTGTGAGATTCAGGTTATAACCTGCTTACTGGCACAGTCCATTTGGACTTGCAAGCAGGTTATAGCCCGTTGCCACAGTGTCATTGTCAAAGTCAACACCCTACACACAGACGAGCGCAAGTGGAGACCTGGATACACCAAACAGCTGTCAACAACTCAGCTTCCCAAAAACAGACAAACTGCTTCCCAAGAACCGAAGAAACCATCAGCCACGATTCCTTTGCCCGTTGCTGCCTTTGGTACTCTTTTTTAGCCGAGGAGCGCCAAGCTGGGGAGCCTGGACACTAAGCGCGAGGAGCCGGGTGCGACCATTGGGCGAAAGTGGAGCAAAAAGAGGTCGGTTGAATGGGAGGCTCCTTAAAAGATACAAATTTTGCCACCATTTGAAACATGGTGCTTTTTCCGCACCAAAATAGAGGGAAACAAAAACCATTTACAAGTTGCAATGCTCAGGTGTTTTTCATGTAAGGATCCCTGTTTGAACGGCAGTCTCCTCACCGGTTTCCCAAACCGAAGGGTTTGAAACACTCGCATGGTCCCTTGTTCACCTGAAGTGGCAGTCGTGTTGTCAGTTAAGTGACTCAATGGGGCGTGCAACAACTTCCAAGCTGTTGAAATCAAGCTCACTTTGAAACAAAGCGAATGACAGTTCAGCACGGCCAAAAGACGAAGCGTGGAACTTTGTTGAAACAACGAACCCTAAACACGTGCTTAGGCAATGAGCTCCAAACAAGGGGATAGGACGAGCTCTAAACAAGGGGATAGGTTTACGGCTTATCCCGTGGATTACAAAGATCACAGCGCACATCGAGGAGCTCCTCGAGGAGACAGCGCTGTTGACCGATGAGGTGGCGAAGCTGGAGAAGGACCATGCAACGGGCAAGCCATGGGCATTCCTTGGGGGGGTGGCAACTGGAGGGGAAAACCCATCCAAAGGGAAGGGACACCCTTTTGATTTGCCTGCAAGACATTGATCGGAATGCGTTCAAGCACTGCCTTACTCACCACTGGCTAACCTGTGCAACTGTGCATGTCTCAAATTAGGGGAACCCCAAAAATGCCAGAATTCTTTTTGGCTTCTTTTTCAACCAGCCCTTTTTCGAGGTACCCTTTAAACAAAAAACTGGCCGTACCTAGCTGTTGGAAGGGAGCCAAGGAGCTATCCAATTTGTTTCTGGGAGCCGGGGAGCTAGGGTTCGGACATGGTAGGTTTTTGTGCGGCTAGTTGGTTGAATGTTTGGACTTGAACGTCTTGGGTGAAACAATGGGTTTTCCATTGGACCCACAAAAAGTGATCAACTGTTTGCAGAGGGGTCCTTGCAGCAACCAAGTTCAGTTCCCCTCAAGAGGTGACGTTTGATGCTGGGAATTCCCTCAAGGTACTACCCTCACCCAGTGGTTATGCCCTTTCTCAGCGTTTCTTTTTTGGGGGAGGGTTCCCAGAAAAAGGGTTACCAACTTATTCTAACCTCTCCACTGGAGGACCTAAACCTCAGCCCTTCGGAGAATTTTCTGCGGGCAACTCGGTGAGGACCTGGCTGCGGCCACGGAGCTCCGCGCCGCGGAGAGCCAGGAGAACCTCAAGGCCATCAAGGCGCGGATTTTGTGCCCCGCCCTTTGAGCCCAAAGGGGGGGGGGAAGCATGTGTTTGGATTTCTTGGGTGGGAAAAAAGGGTATACCTCCACATGTATGAACATATATATATATATACAATATATGTACACATAGTAATATATATATATATATGTATATATTGGTAAGGCCGATTCCTGCGGTTTGCCCGGGCCCACAACGTGCCCGACCCGCGCCGCCTCGCGCAGCGAAACACCATGAACCCTATAAAGCTTTGCGCCCCAAACCTTAACCCTAAAACCCTAAACCTAAACGTTCAAACCATAACCTTGAAATTATAAGCCCTAAGCCTGAACTCTAAAACCATAATCCCTGAACCTGAACCCTCAAAAACAAGCCTTGCATTCATAAACCCCGAACCTTAACCCTACAAAAATACACCCCGAACCTTAACCCTTGGCTGCAAGACTTGCGAGAGCGCAAGCAAAAGTACTGAACCCAAACCTTTACCCGAAAGCAACACTTCCTCAAACCCGTGTATAAGACACATATACATTGACAATACGCTTCAACGCCTGGGCAATCCCGGGGCGTTCGTTGTGTATGTATATATATATGTACATGCTTCTTGGTGTGTGTAGAAATGTGTGTATATACACACAGGTAATACCGGGATTTAACGTCGCCCCATGTTCTTTCCATGCAACTGAAATTATCTTTGTTTGTGATTCCAGTGTTTTTTGGATTGGTGGTTGCCCTTGAGCATTGGATTCAACTCCCCAAACCACCAACCCCCCATCTCCCGCATCCCCCCCATCCCTCCCATCCCCACCCCGCCACTTCCCCCCCACTTCCCCCCACTTCCCCCCCCTCCTCTCCGCACCAGCGACAGTCGAACAAAAGATTTGCTTCACTTCCCCCACTTCCCCCCCTTCTTCCTCCGCACCACGACAGTCGGAAAAAAAAGAAAAAAACAACTTGCCGCAGGAGGCGAAGCAGGGCTTGGACGCCACCAAGGAGGCCATCGTGGCCTTGCAGGACTTTTACAAAGGCCGGGAGATCGATGCGGCTGCCGATCCGGCGGATCCGGCGCGATCGATCCGGCGGATCCGGCGCGTGTTTTTGGTTCCGGGGCCGGGGATGCGGGCATGGGTGTGTGAAACAACGAGGGACAAATAGGGTGAAGCCAGAGAGGCCCGAAATCATCCGTGTTTCTTAAACGAACCCAAAAGGCAGGGGTGACTGGAATTCCCCTACAAAAGTTGTGGGTTCCAACACAATCGCCACTTTTGGAGGCCCAAGAAATGCAAACTGAGGAACCCCAAAAAGGAGAAATATGTTTGCCAGATCGCCCGGAGGTGCGGCCCGGAAAGCGGCGAACCACGACAAGGCGGGGTAGGGGTCGATCAGTTGGAACCCGGAAGACCCTTGCCATGGGTTGAGAAAGACCCAGCCATGGCGATAGGACCCTTCATGGTTGTTGGGAATCCTTTGACGCATTTTTGATCTTATGGTGGTTTAGTGGTTGAAATCCAACCACTTAACTGCTAACATTTGAGAATGTTTGCTCCCCTTCCATCGTCAACCAAGCCTTGGAGTGCTGCGAATGTTGGGCTGTTTCTCGGAAAGCGTGTTTGGTTTGGGTTGACCTGTGAGTTAAACTGTATTTGTCGGAAAAGGACTGGACCATTGTGTCTTAAATTGTGAAAGTTCGTTCTTTCGGTTTTTTGCTGATGCACATCTCCCCCTCAACCTTGAGCCGTCTAGCGCTGGGCTGGTGACCAGCACCCCCAGTTGATCATCCAAGGGATCCAGTTGGCTACGAAGGGAAGTTGGAAACCCAAACAGAACCATGGTCATCCAAGTGGTAATTTTCATTTGGCGATGCATCGGTTCCCATTTTTTCCTTGGCTTTACTCATTCCCCAAGCAAAACATACTCTTACGACATGTTTTTCTTCAGCATTCACATGTTTTTGTTGCTACGTTTGTTGGTCCCGTTCATTTTTAGCGGGCTGAGTGTTTTGCTCACATGCCAAGGATTGGAACTGGAGGGGTTGGCTTTCCCATCACCAGCGGGGTCAAAAAAACATGAAGTTGGGAGGCTTGTTTTTGACCGAGAAAACATGGGGCCGTGGAACGGGGAAACCAATGGAAACCACCTACTTGTGTGTGTGTGTGTGTGCTTGTGTCCATTTTGTTTGTAGATGCCTGCTTCGTTTGCCGTAAAGGAGTTTCGGCTCTACTGATGGCCAATCAGCAAAGCAGGTCAGCTTTTTGTTTTGTTGTTGTGTAGATCTTTTTCTGTGTCAGCTGAACTCCAAACAGTGGTAGTGAAAGTGAAGGTATTTTCTAGGGAGTCCACACTCCCAAGTTGGGGAATCATCGCAAGTTCCTCCGGTAGGCACTGGCCCATTCCGGACTTTGGAACGAAACCTGCTTTTCAGGTTCTGCACCGCCTCCGAGCCTCTAAGAGATGACCACATAAGTAGAAAATTGGCTTGGATCCCTTGGATTTCTCCTCTCCGGGACCCATTCCAAGCCCGGTGCTTGGAGCAATACAAGCTCACATGTCCAGTTGGTTGGGATCCCATGCCCCAAGAAAGGCCTAAGGAGAGAAGTTTGGGATTTGGTGATTTGGACTTGTGCTTTGCGGCGGTTTGGAAGGGGTTGATTGCCATTTACCCCCAAGAGAATTGGGTTTCCCTTACCAATCCAAACGAGGTGAGTCGATCTATCCAGTGCCTCACACTTGCGGAATTCGACATTTGTGCTGGGCAAATCCCCTTGAACCAAATTCCAAGGGCGTAAATCACCAAGCCCTTTCTCCATGTTTCCCTTTCCCTCTCACCAAATCCATTTGTGAGTACTTGGATCCTAGGCTATGTCCTTCTTCCAGAAGTCTGCGCTCAACGAGCCAGCGCCCGGGTTCGAGGGCAGCTACGGGGGCAAGCAGACCGCGGCTGAGGGGGTGATCTCCATGATGGAGGCTGGGAGTGGAGACTTCTTCGTCTTCGTGCCACACTGATTGCACGACCTGGTGCTTAAGATTTAGCTAGGTCCCTCAAAGCGAACATTTTGACACCTTCTCAAAATTGCATATATGTATATACATATATATATATACATATTTATATATATATATATATACATATCATTGCATTATATATATAGATATAATATATGTTTCGGGCGGGGGGGGAGGGCTTCAAACCACCACGTAGCTTAAGAGTAAGTTTGGGAATGTCATTGTCATGGACGTTAAGGCGACGAAGGGACTGGGGAAGCCAAAGGAGAGAGGCTGTGACCAGCCCGGTCCCCCGGAAATTCGGACATGTTCAAAACGAAGCCTTGGATCAAGCCCTCGCAAGGTTCCGGCTCAATTTTTTCGCTAGGTGTCCTGCCGATGGTGTCAAGGTGCCAAAAGGAACCCATCATTTGCCCTCCAGGGCATCTTCTGGGCACCAAGCTGAAGCTTGACGGTGCCCAAGGACCAAGGGGATCCAAAGGGAAGCCAGGATGGTTCAGTGTGGGGGGATGAAGTGTTTGGGATCCTTTTGAGGGACTCCACAAGGTGTTGGACCTTGCTGTTTCTCAAGTTGAATGAGTTCGAATGAATCTTGAACCCCCCCCCGTCGATGGATCCAGGTGGTGCGGGACGACTTCGAGAAGGCGGGCGCCAGCACCAAGTCCTCGGAGGACAGCGCGGCGGAGGAGTTTACCAAGCTCAAGCAGCAGCCCCCTGGATTCGAAGGAGAGTGGCATGGGAAGCGCGATTGCCCGGGTTTGGGAGAGGTTGGGAATTTGTCATTCGGAGGGGTAGGAAGGTCCCCAAAATCGAGACTCCTCACTTGAGACACTGCGATTTCTTGGGTTTCGGGGCCTAAGAACTTGAAATGCTCAGGGCTGGCGCCGTGTCGGGACTCGATCGATTCGCGCGCCGGGGGGTTGTGTTCGGCCAGCGCCAAAGTTTGGGAGAGGTTGGGAATTTGTCATTCGGAGAGGAAGCAAATGGGTCTGTCTTGTGAGGGTACTTCCTGGGGTTGCTTTAAATGGGAAGCCAGGGATGGCGTTTTCCCTTTTGACATATGCCAAATCCTTGTGGGAGAATGTGTGGGTTGGTCGGGGAAGGAAGTTGGATTGGTCCCAAGGGATCTTGCCCCTTTTGAAAAGGCGGGGGGGGGGGGGAGGAGTGCATGCGCTCGGGAATCAGGCTAGTTTTGTTCCCACTTCTAGTGGTTCCTGAGACCCAATGGAGCGGATCTGACTTGACTTCCTTGACTCAAAAGTTTTGCCCCGTTTTGCCTGCGTTTCGCCAACGTGCCAATGGGCTAAAGTGTTAACCGTAGGTGGTCGCTTGTCTTGACTCTTTGTAAGTGTCCACTTGGGCCACCATTTTGGCTCAAGTGGGCACTTCCCTTCTTTTTTGGAATCTGAAACTTCTCATTCCCCTCCTATCAAAGCCATGTACGCCCCCGCCTATGCCGGTGCCGCGGTTGCAGAGGCTAAGGCGAAGGCCAAGGCATCCATGGCGAAGTACCTGGCAAGCCTTGTGAAAAAGGAGGAAGAAGGTTGGACCGTCCTGGCGGCTGAGGTCCCTCAGGCACCGGACGAACGGTTCTTCTCCAGCGCCGACGAGCTGGAGCAGGCCCCACTCATCCCAGCCAAGCGCAAGGCCGAGGACGAGCTGATGGCAGACTCATCCCCTGGGGTGGCGCAGGTGCCGATGGCCCTGACACGCCCCCCAGGGGCGTTCTTGGAACTTCTCAACCCGCCGGAGCCGGATGTCCCCATGGAGGAACTCCTGGCGGAAGACGAGGAGGAGCCCCCGATGGAGGAACTCCTGGCGGAAGGTGAGGAGGACCCCCCGATGTCCGACACCAAGTGGCAGGGACGCCAGGACCTGATGGAAAAGGCCAGGGCGCAGGCGTCCTCGGAGGGGGATGAGGACCCCGCAGCCCCCCCGCCGGGGGGAAAGTCTCTGAGGGCCTTTACCAATTCAGTGAGGACCAGATGGCGGGGGACTTCCCGTGTTTTGATGCGACCACGGCCACCAGGCTCCGCCGACTTCAGGCCAAGGATGTCCAGCGGCTCCTGCGAGGCTTTGAGGGCCCCCAACTCAAGCAGGGGGGCCTGGAGCGCGTGATTGAGGCGTTCTACATCGCCAAGATGAAGTATGAGCATGAGGCCCTGCTCAGCACCCCGGGCCAGAAGGTTGGCAAGCGCGCTGGCCTGGGGTACGGGGGGCTGGAGAACCGCCCCCTGGGTAAGGCGCCCACCTCCTGGATCTGCCCCTGCTGCACCATGCCCTGGGTGAAGAAGGGCGCCAGGAAGTGTATGGGGTGCGGCAAAAAGACGGAGCCCATTGACACGGCATCCAACTTGGCCACCCTGGAAATGGCAGGCACGCACTGGCAGCTGACAGTGGATGACCAGGGCAATGCGGTCTGGACGGCGGCCCGGTCCGCAGGTGCCGATGGCCCTGATACGGACCGGGCCCGCGACCTCAAGCTCAGCGCCTCGGTGGATGTCAGCGAGCTGGCCACCGACCCGATGGCGTGCGAGAACCTGGACCAGGCCAGCTTCTCGGATTTTGTCCCCTCCTCGGTCCGGGCGGTGATCAGGAACTGCCCCATGGAGCTGGACGAGGATTTCCTGACGGCCCCAATGGGGGAAAGGCCCCCGCTGCCGGGCGACAAGGAAGAGGGCCAGGAGTGCAGGGCCTTCCACCCGTCGGCGGTGAAGGCCTTCAAAATCCAGACCCGGCTCAACGCCACCACCATCGCCCAGGAGGAGGCCAAGAAGGCAGACCAGGTGGCAGCGGTGGAGCGATCCGCGGCGGTCCTCCAAGGAGGGGCCATCGATGGAGGAGGCGATGGGGGCCAACTCCTCAAGAATTTGGACTTGGACCTCTTCCGCGAGAAACTGCTGGATAAGCTGGGCGCGGACTGGGGGAGGCCCACACCGGAGCTCCTCCAGGCCCAGACCACTGCGGAGGAGGCGAAGGCAAAGCACCAGGCCAGACAAGCGAAGGGCGCCCTCGAGACCAGAATGCTCGAGCCCATCAAGCCTCCATTCAGTGCATGGCCTAACGAGGTCCGAGTTGCCATCGAGACAGGGGTCTTTGAGCCGACCACGGCATGGAGGGACTTCAGCATGGACGACCTCACGTCCCTCACGGACTCTTACCTCGAAGCCAAGGCGGTCATCTCGCTGGTAGGAACCCCTTTCCGGCGGCCCTCCTGACAGATCTGCCGGATCTGGCGGGGATCCCCATTCCAAAGGCGGGGGGCTCTGGTGCGGCGCGCCCAGGTGCCGAGGGCCCTGACAGGCAGCCCACCATCCCCCCAGCCTCGGGCTCTGGTGCGACGAGCTCAGGTGCCGAGGGCCCTGACAAGCCGTCCGCCACCCCGGGGGGCCTGGATACCCAGGACCCGGAGGTGCAGCTCGCGGTCCTGCGCTGGATGATGAGCAAGCGTGTCGGAGAGGTCCGCATCTTTGCGGGCCGCTGGGTCCGACGACCGGGCCCCGTACACGTCCCGGACTGGGCCAACAACCTCACCAAGGTGAATCCGGAGGCGCTGGAAAAGGGTACGCATCCCAGGAACCACCAGGTGGGTGGACTCCCATGGGCCAGGTACTCTATTGAGGAGCTGAACCAGCAGGCCAAGGCGGGGGACCGACCATGAGGACCTGCGATCCATCTTCTGGGCGGCCCCCCACGATCCGGATGATGACTTCCACTGGGCGCGCCAGATCTCGTCCTGGACACTCCCAGGCTTGCTGGGGATGTTTGGTCACAGCTTCACTCTGCGCCAGCTCTGGGGAGTCTGGGAGTCCCTGCCACTGCTTCAGGGCCCTAGACAGCGGGGCCCGAAAAACAAGGCCCAGAATCAGATCCGCTTGGAAGGCTGGGAGACCCTGAAGGAAGAGGCTCGGTGCTTCCTGAAGGAGGAGGGCCTTCCGCTCCCGCAGACGGGACCGGAGTGGCGCCTGGTCTACCGGGCCATGGGTAAGGTCCTTGCGGCCCGGGCCTTCCTCACGGACACCCCGGCGGAGGTAATGCAACTCCCGGTCCAGGACGTGGCGGACTCCAAGGAACAGATGATCCTCCGGGCGGTCTGTGATGAGCGCATATCTGTCCCGGTGGAAAGCCTCCAGCAGTTCCCGGAGGTGTACCAAGCCCTCATGGACCGCATTGGAGGCCCGGGGGCCCTGGCGGAGGTCAAAGTCAACTGGCGCTGCAACACGAAGCAGTGGTGGGTCGGCGCAGTCCCCGACTCAGTGGCCCCCTCCATCTACCGCAAGCTCGGCTACACCACCGACATGATCAAGCTCATGGGCCTGGACCCCTCCGCCCCCGGGTGCCGGACAGGTGCCGATGGCCCTGACATCCGCCCCAGAAAAGAAGGGCGATGAGGGGATCGTCTACCCCCCCATCACATCGGACAACGTCCACGGCGTGGTGGGCAAGGATTACAGGAAGAAGAACTTCTCGGCAGAGACGAAGCACGTCTTCTGGGCGCACATGGAGTGCGGCTTGGTTCTGAGCTCGGTCACTCCATGGGAGCTCATCCCCAAGACGAAGGGAGAGACCCGGGGGGGCTACATGTGCAAGTACTGCAAGGGGTACTGGCGCGCCGGGGGAGGGGCACTCGCCTCCTCCAGATCCGGGCCGGCAAGGCCATCCTTCAGCTGGTGCTGGACGAGCCGCCCGATGGACTGTACAACCGCTGGGTCAAGGAACGGTTGGAGTTCTACCGCCGGGTAGAGCCGTCTGCCCCGCTGCGGGATGTCTCCGTGGTGGACCAGAAAGTCCCACGGTTTAGGTTCGGCAACCTCACCCAGACCGGCCATGTTTCAGATGCCATCTGGGAGCTGATTCTCCGGAACCCGGAGGCGGCGGCGCTCAAGCGCATTGACGACATTGCCAAGGGGGCCGCGTGATCATGCAGCACTGCGGCCATCCGGAACGGACTCGCATTGCACCCCGGGGGAGGACAGCTGCCGAGGGCGCTGATATCCCCCCCGGGCACAGCACAGGCCTAGACCTGTACCAGGCGAGAAAAAAGGGGAGCGCTTGGGCTGGTCCGGGATGCGCCTGGGCTCCGTTTTTCCCTTTCCGGGGAGGCTCCCTGGGTCCCCCCCCCCCCTTTTTCGGGCGTGGCTTTTCGGGGTTTTGGGGCCCCCCCCCCTGTTGTTTGGTTGGGGTTTGCGCCTAGGGATTTGGCTCCGGGCTCGAGTGGATCACGATGATGTGGAGGCCCCGCCTCCCTTCCCCGTTTGGAACGGCCTTCCTAGGGGTACCAACCGCGGTCCAGTTGATTTTGCATGACCTTGGATTTGCACCAGTGCAGTCGGACGGGGAAATCCTCGTGGCGTGCTGCCTGGAATGGGTCAATAAGGACCAGGTTGCCAACCCGGATGCGGTGGTTTTTGAACCGCGACCGTGGACACGAATTGTGGGGATTGCACCCGACGGTAACCATGTCCTGGTGGCCTCGGACACCTACAACTTGATCCTCGCAAGGATACTCGGCTCCCAGCCACAACCGCTGGAGGAGGCGGATTTGGAGCTCGCTACTAAGACCCTGCAGCAACTTTTGTTTCGTGCGGCAGGCGCCAGGCAATCGCACACCTATTCTCCACTGGAAATGGAACAGGCCATCCGGGACCGTGAGGAGTGGATCCTCTCCGGATCGATTGAGGCCCCGGATGTCCTGGCAGTGGCCAACAA